TGAAGGCTTCAATGTGTAGTTTGGAGCGAGGTTTCAGTAGACCTGCGACAGTGTTTCGCCTACTAGAATCGTTGGCCATGATGACACATGAGAAGGAAGCCAAAAGGGGAAGTTTAGAGTTGAAAGTCGAGGTAGGTGGAGTAACAGGATATGAAGAGGGAGGTTGATTATTAATACAGTGGTCTTGAGTGCTGTTAGGGGTGTGAGGTAGGTTATTACTTCCTGGTTGCCCATGCTGTGAAGAGTTCTTCTAGAGGTACCTGAAGAGGAAATTGGATTAGGAGTGGTCTTAGTGACCTGAGAGCGTGATCGCAGTGCCCAAGGGATAACTGCTTGTGGTCGTTGACACACGACCTTACATATATTTTCTCCGTTGTATGTCACGATGGTGCCAAAAGAGAGAAGGAAAAAATGGAGGGCAGTATGCAGAACAGACTGTGTGACTAGTGAATTTTATTTATCTGTGATGGAATAATTAAGGTATGACCTATCCTCTTCTATAAGGTCAATTTTCAAGCACGTGTAGTTAAATATCGAAATACATTTAAGTAATGGCTGACTAGTAATGACGTGTTTAGCTTCTGTGATACTATCAAACTATGAGAGAACAAAATATTAAGCTTCAGCCCGTACTTTATATAATATTTGGGTTGCACGCCAGACCTGTGACATTCCACAATCATTTAGTATAGTATTTCTAACGGACTTTGAGTTCGTACCATCAGGTATACAATGAATGATGGGATTCTGCATAGACTGAAGTTTCTTCAACACTTCTGAAGATATATGGTACACTAGATTTTACATATTTCTTTATATTTTTGAGATCACGATTTTCTGTAGCATTAATTAGGCATTTATATGGTACTAAACCATGAATAGTTTCAGTGATGGTATTTCCACTTGATTTGTCTTAGAATTGTTACTGATGGAAGTGTTGGAGTTTACATAAAAATTGTCGTGGTCAACGTGTGTAGATTTGTTGTAAGTGTCCATTGAATGGTCAGCTTATGTATACTTATTTGAAGAAAGGAATATACCCTCTAGTAACTTATCGAAAAGTGCATCAATGGATAGTTTATTTCTGCCAGACTTGTAGCCTGTGAGGTGCTCCACAGGGTACACGATTTTGGGCTTGTTGAGTGTTTGGGATCAGCCCTAAGTTCCACGAATTGCTTGCAGTCAGTGACGCTTCTGGGTGGACCGGAAGAAGTACCGAGCAATGTCGTTTCACGTGGTTTGTGGTTGGTTTTATGTATATTTACAAGCGTGATGCGATTCAGTGGGATGTCACACGCAAGTTTATTTTGAATGTCTAGTTTAGTCGTAGAAAGAACGGAATACAATTCAGATTGATCAGTGTGCTTACACAAATGATTTAAATCTTTTTCAGATGTTGGGTGCATAAAGGGAGATTACATGTTTTTCAAATGGCCTTGACATAATTTAAAGAGGTGTGAATATAATTAATATTTGCAATAACTGAACAAGGACCGTTAGAGATTAAATAAATTTATGACAAATAGCACTGCGTGAGGCCTAACAGACTAAGGGTATGAAGTTGAACTCAATGATGAAGTGTCAAATATTTGAAAAAATTATAAATATGGTATTGTCCGCCAAGAAATAATGTCATTTTCGAATGAAAAACTAGAAGGAAAGACCACGTGAAGAATTACAGCCTTCAGGGTTCATGCCGAGATTATGATAATTAGTGTGTCACCACGAGCTTGGCAAACCAGGTCATTCACAACTCAAAATGAAGCCGGAAATTACATCAGATTTCCAAAAGGCAAATCATCATTTTCTCTACCGGTGTAATACTTAGTTCTTTACAAGTATCATTACCAAGTTTCGACTTGATAATTTTGGATTAATTGGGACTTGTTAATAATCAAGGTAATATATTTGTAATGTTTTAGTCAGTAGAAAGTTAAACCTCTGAAGTTTCATGACTTACTGTGAGTTATTTCTTTAGAGAACAAAATTTAGCTATGAATGACACTAACGGAAGTTCAAATAGTTCAAAGGAGACAAAGCAGAATGCTTTTAGTACGACTAAAATTAAAATAGATCTGATCATGTTGATATTACCATGTCATTTCAGTGAGGATAATTTTTTTCGTGAGTCTTAGTTGTGTGTAATTGTGAAATAGAAGGGTTAGGAATATTTGTGCGTTTGTAAGCGGTGTGAAATGTGAATAGGATAGGTTTTCCGAATAAATGGTTCATGGAGTTAAATGCTTGTCTGAATAAGTTTGGGGCCAAACAGATTTTCGCATTGAGCAGATGCTGTGATTTGAAATAAACATATTTATTTGAGTGTTAGCTTGCGGTATTCAGCTCTTCAGCTTCACGATCTTAATCACTACATGTAAAACTCGTTTTGATGTGTTCTTGAAATTTTAGAGAAATTTCCTCTATGTGAGCATTTCATTCTCTTGTTGTTGTTGGTGTGTACTTATACTTAGTTTTGATATCGGTCATTTGTCATTATTATTGCTATTTTGTTTACAGTTATCGATTTAAGATGGAGTTGTTGACGTCGATAATGTTCTGAGTTTTGTTCCGTTTTCGTTTCAGTTAACATCCTTGAAAATTTTGGCGGTCTCCATAGTGGAAATCTTGTGTTTGATTGATCCTGTTTGTATTTTCCATTGTTTCCGTACTTGGTAGAAAACAACTACGTTTCCATAATAGCAAGGGAGAAGGTTTGCTCGTATTAGGTAATTATACGTTTCTTAACTTCCAAATATAATCGTTACACTGTAGTGATTGACTGCTTCTACAACTCGTCGGGCCATTTTAATCTTGTCCTTTTTCAGGAGTAACCTTGCTTGTAACTTACATTTAACTCATTTGTGGCTTGTCAACTTATTATATCCTGGTTTAACTGTGCATGGTATAATAGATCGGCGTGTGAAAAGTTGTTGTACTCCGTAGTTTCGCTGTCGGAGAAAATGCTGTTGAGGTGCACAATATTTCATTTTATGCCTATATTTAATGTTTCAGTGCCACATCAAATACTAAATTTTACGTTGTTATACAAGCCATATCAGTAAACCTCGCCTTCTAAATACTTTAATTGAGGCATGTAGTGACAGGACTGTTGAAATCATTGAGGCTTTCGGATGTAACACGTACTGAGTCGCTTTACAGGTGATGGACGCTTTTTTTCTTGGGGAATGATGGGACATCGTATTTAATTGCCTCCTCACATTATAAGGTCAAACGGCCTGAAGGAACAAGACTTAGTGTGAATAATCAATGTTCCACAGTATCAATCGCGCAACTCTGTTAAAAATAGTATGTGCTGAGGTTTAACAAATACCATTTTGAGGTGTATCCTCACAAAGTCTTTTGAGACGAACACCTGTGCAGCTGCCGTATTATAGCCGTTGCGTTTTAGCTTATATACGAAGCCACCTTATTACGGCAGCCTGTGAGAGTGCTCTAACAGATATCAAACATAGTAACAGATACCGACATGCAACCTGTTGGACATAACTTCCACGGATGCACGAACAAAACAGCCTAGGATTAATTGTCAGTCATGACTTGAAAGCAACTAATTACTGCAATGTAGGAGTTGTAAAAAGGTTTTCGAGTGCCATTATCGATTCGTAGGGCCCTCATATCCCCTGGTAAAGATGCACTTTGAACGTCACTTCCTACCTTTGTGAGTCGTTTCTTAGAATGCTGCTTTCAAGCAGTAAGCTCATTTTTTATTGTGAGTGCTGATGTATTTGAGTGGGCTGAGTTTAGATTCTAAGCTAGTGACAGATTTTTGCTACCTATTATATGGCGATAGACTGAAAGATTGAAGTCTTTCCCCCACTATTTTATCATAAAACTTGTTGTGACGTATTACTGACACTAATTTGTGTTTTAACATGTCTTACGTTTTTATTCTCTCCGTGGCTAATCATCTCTGAGGCGATCACAAAAGGGTTAGAAAACTGAAATGGAATCACAACACGGAGAGATTTTGTTTTACTCTTCCAGTAAGTACGTCCCTCCACCTAAACAAACAGTATCAACCCCACAGGATAATGTCTTCAAGAAGGAACAGAATCTTAATTAGAAATTGTTTTGTAATGGTTAATAGAGGTTATCTGTCCTACTATCCAAAAGAATAGTGACATTTAGATAGGATTTAAATTTTTAATTGAGTTATGTTTTTCATGTTAAATACAACTCTGAAATACTTTAAAACACTTGATTTCATTGATCTATCTGTCTATAATCTCTTGGAAGTAGTCATCTTTATCTGCTAGGATCCATGTTACTCCACCAATCTCGTTTGTTCAGCATCAAGGTGTGTAACTCAACACCACTAATAAAAAGAGGAAAACCATACTATCCCAAAGGTGTGAAACATGCAAGTCTATGAATGCAGTGTCTTGGTTATCTACAACTAATTGTATATCCTTCGATAATCCCACCTCTAAGACGTCCCCGGGGCGACTGAGCGTAATACTAAACTATACTGAACTGACAGAGTTGATACTGCATTGCGCTCACCAACTGTTTACTATAAAAATATCATCAGAATAAAACATACAAGATCTGATCAGTAAGGTATTCAATTCACATACAGCCAAATCAAGCCGTTCACTTTTACTACACGGGGCTACTGAAATGAATGAACAGACGAATTTTAAGCTGCTTCATGATGGTGATCATTGGCGATGCACCTTGGAAGTAATCATACTAACTTATCCACTCTCCAATGCAGACACAAGAATTTTCAAGCCGATTAACCTCGTCTCCCAATAGATAGCCAAGTTACTTCAGATAGCGAGGGCCCAACCTGACGCAGAAATTTCCACCCTTCAGCCCTGGAATAATAAATATTCCACTTTATCAAATGAAATTAAAATGTTTACTGAGCGGTTCAGCAGGGAGTGCCCAGAACTTGTTTAACTGCGCCTGAGGAATTAGGTATGTATGGAAACCTACACAGGTCTATCGGGTCTCACCATTTCTAAAACTTAAAAATGCAAGCGTACGTAATGCTGGTTTGTTACTTGGTGGTGACACATCTCTCAGTATTATTCTCCCCGTATCTGGTTTACTCAGATATTTTTATTTGCTTGTTTATTGTGTACACATCGGCGTAAGAGGGTTAATACGGAAATTACAAAGAGATCAGAGAGTTGATAAATGAAAAGTACCCAAGTATGAAGGCTTTCTGTACAACCTGGCCGCCCAAAGATGTCACTGAACATGCTCTCGACGACTTCTAGATGTATCACAATGCTATTTCTGATACTCTGGATAGTGGCTTATACTTCATACATTCACCTTCTTCAGAGCTCACAAAAGTTCGAATAATTTATTCCTTAAAGTTATGGGAGGTGATCTAGAAATGAATCTTTCCCGGATCTTATTAGTGGGTCACTTCAGCGAATATGCTTTTGAAGTGACCAACTTGTTAGTCTTGAACCTTCTGAACATGTCGATCATCCCCTCACATCATTCTGATTGAACAAACACGGCTACGTCAGTGTGATTGAATCACAGAATCTTCCTAGGAACACCCTCATCTAATCCGTTCATCGGCAAACTTTCCTCTGGCTGTCATGTACAAAACCCTCTAGACAGTCCCGCTGCCTAAGGTTCGGTGTCCACATAGTGTAAACATATTGTCTGTAACAACAGTCGTCATCCCACTGACACAAATGATAAGTCATGCTACAAAGTATCACCCAGTACATGTACTAAGAAGATCAAGTAAGATAAATTAGCTTAGTAAAGTTGGAGATCCGTATAAATCTGAACCCTCTTGACCCCAACTCACTAATTGTACACAACCCCAACAAGGAAGTTGCTAGGCCGTTAGTCGATAAGTTTCGATCCTGCCATTTCCAGTCTGACGCACCTCTGTGTACACACTGCTGTTCCACTCATTTCCATGACTCTCTAAATATAGATTTTGTAGCTTTCAAAACTAAAGTAATTATGGGGCTCTTGACCACACAAATTTAGCCGGATCTTATAGTATCTAACCCATGTTCCAATGTGTGGACTCTCTACACTTCTCTGTTTAAGTGTTCCTTAGTCAAGGTAAACTACCCCTCGGCTGGAAGAATATCAGTCTTACCTTCACACAAAGAATGGAAGAAAGTGGAAGTTTATGATCTCCAACCTATTTCATTGCTATTCACAGTGGTAAATGTCAGGGAAAGACGTGTCAACTAATTTTTCCATAACTTCCTCCTCAACAAATCTGTTCACTCAAAGTCAAAATACGATAACCTACGTAGTAAAGAACCCGTTAACTTAATGCAGTAAGTAGACCACTTGACTGAAACGCAAATGTCCTGTCTGTATTTGTCTCCTAGACTTCTCCAAGGCATTGAACGGGGTTGACTATCATATTCCGTCTTAAAAATCGGATTATATGTGTATATGTGGATGTCTAGCGGTTTAGTCCTCGAGTTACATAAAAATTAGATCACAAGCTGTCGGAGTTTACTCCACTCTATCAAATTAGTTTTCAATAACAAATGAAGTGCCACAAAGCCTAATCTTAGGGCTTCCGATCCTATTGTTCAATAATGACCAACCTAATTCTTCGGACTCAAACTTTTCTGTGTGCAGATGATCTTAAGAACTAGAAAGGACTAGTTTGCTTAGCCGATGTCTTGACTCTAAAAATACCTACACCGGATAAATAACTGCGCCATCACAAACCTTGCTTCCCTCAATACCACTAAGTGAAGAATGGCAATGGTGAACGGCGGCGATACTCCAGCCATTATATACTGCTTGGTAGATTCCGGAATTGCATTTTGCACCGGTGAACTGGGCTTGCTTCATTAGTATAATTCAGGTGTTTTCTCCGATTAAAATTCTTGAGTCAGCAAATCATACTAGTTCTTGGGCATTAATTCTCGATTATTTCCGTGAAAGTAGTGAATGAATAACCCCAACGAACATTTAAGCCAGAAAGAAAATAGTTTCTGATCCTTAAACGATTTAAAATAAAAAGCAATAGATTTGTATTTGGCGGACATTTATAACATAAGTTATTGGGCTTTTCATCACAAGATGACATCATCTAAATTGCAAAGATGACGTCCTAGCGGAGACCTGATTAGTTCATTCATGCTCTTCGCTTTTAGTATCACTTCACTTGCTATCCTAATTGTTTTCTTCTTCACTTACAGAAGAAATATAGGAGTGGTAATAACCCCTTGTAACCAAGAGCGCTATCTCAAAGAACAGACAGCTCGTTAATTCTGTCAAGAATAGTTTAAGTCGACGGTTGAACTTTAGAGGTTGATTTGCGCCGTCAAGGTCGTTTGGTACGGTTTCCCACTGCAATGTTCTCTTCAAGAAAGGTTTTGTAGCTAATGAGATTTCAGTGATTAGGATCAGATAACAGATTTGTGGGACACATTATCTTTTACTGAACGTTACCGCCATGTACAAGCCCTCTATGCAATAGCATGAGGGTTGCTAAACAGTGTGAAGAATGAGAACTATGATTTGCAGTTGGTTAGGGTTAGGACTTAGATCTAGGGTTTTCATCACGAGATGATGTCATCTAAAATGTCGAAGCTTTATTTAACCAAATGGATGAATCAATGTCGCACGAAAATCCGAGTCTTGTTATCTTATGTCTAATTGGTTTGTCCATAAATTATAGTCTCATCGCATTAAATGCGCTCTTCACAAGCTAAATCTAAAAAGATCGATGTTCTTTCGGAAAGTATACATTTTCGGAATCATGCTATTTTCACTCCCTCCTTTCTATGCTGTTCCACTGTCTTTCAAAGATTAAAATGCTGGTTCATTGTTGGTACATCACTTACTGTTCGTCAGTACTGGAGAAAGTTGAAGGAGAACTGTTTTACGTCTTTATAACCAAAAATTTTGGTGCACTCAGAAATAAGGAGGATTTTTGTTTCAACAATCACTTCCGTGCATCGGTTAGTAAAGTGAACAGGTAAAACTCCCATAAAGCACCGATTTATTTTCCATTTGAGCCTCATTGCAGGAAGTCAAATCATAAAGGCCATACATTACACTTTCTCAAGCTACTCATTCACAGGAAAATTTTGGAGATACTGCATTAGACACATTAAGAAAACAAAATCGACAGTATTTTCAGCATAACACCAACGATTCAGAAAAAGTTATGGAACATATGTACTAGTTCTTTGTGGTTTCCTCTTACCTATTACGTGGACTTATTAAACCTGACTGTTAAGCTCCTACGGGGTCTAAAGAACTAGACAACTCATGGGGTGGTGTTTTCAGGGCGTTTGTTTTCGAATGCTAATAACCTACGAATATATTCAATCCTCGAAGACTACATGTTACAGCCATAAATTAGCATAGAACAAACTGCTGATCATTAAATTTTTTTAGGATTTTCCGTGTGTTCTAATTTGCAGTTCGATAGTGAATTCAAAAAGATTTTCTTACGGACTGTAATGTTTTGGATGTCTTAACATGTATGATAAAATACTCAAAGTATGTCGCAACTTGCACTTAACATTTAGAAGTTGACTCCAATCGGGATATAAATAAGGCATGTTTTAGATGATTTTATCGTTTCTCTCTGAAGCGATACATTAGATACTGTGGTTGAGTAACGTATTGAAATTTCCTTCATATCAAAGTAAACCAGTCTAAATAGGACTAAAGATATAAGGAGTATTCGGGACTATCATCTTAGTGGCTAAGAATTGTTGTTAGGTGATACTTAAGCTCAGCCTATATATCTTCGTGACTGTACTGGATATTGTGGGTTTTTTTGTTATGTGACCTGAAGAATTGTTTCAAAACCTGTCACGCAGTTGCTTCAAGCATTTGTAAAGAACACTTCTTACCTTGCTCTTTCGTATGGTACTCGTAGTTTTGCTGTCTTTTCTTCTATTTCTACATTTAACGTCATACAACTTTTGTCTCTACCTAAATTATTTGATTAATCTAAACGACTCCACCATAATCAGCAAAGCGAATCAATGTAGGGGGCTTTAGGTCACTATATTATGGTAGGATATATTTTACTTTCTCTTTGTAGTTTCCAAATTTACCTCCTTTTGTTGTTTTCATAATAGGATGGATGTTCATTGTGAAATGAATCAAGAAGTCGATTCCAATTATCCAAATTCGTACTCTAAAGAAGTTGAGGAAGCGCTTTCCCGGCTTAATTTAAAATCAGACAGTTTAGATGATCCTGATTTTAATGTCATTTCTTATATTAATGAGGTTAACTTACTACAAAATGTCTATGACATATTTTTTAGAGATTTCCCAGCGAACAGTCACTGGCAAATATAGATGAGTTGATAGTTGAAGCGGAAGGAAAAATTCGCGAACTAGACGATGAGACTAGAGACCTACTACGTGGTCGCTGGCAAACAGAGGATAAAGGACAAGAGGTTGTTCAGGATGCAAAGGATATGATAAAAGTACTATTCTCTAGGTTGGTTTGTATTTATGTTGGTGTGTAACTTGCAGATAAATTCATATTTAAGTAAATACCTTCATAATCACTAGCTCGTTTACCAAGTGGTAGTTTGCGTACCATACTTTGAATAACGTAGTGTGAATATAGGTGATACTACTTGCCTCACGTGTCCAAACTGATGACTGAAAGTCAAGTGTTAGAACTACCAATCCATCACTGTTATGATGGTATGGCCGAGAGTGGGGTGGGCCCGCCCTCCCTCTCGAAATGCTCTCACACGGCCACGCGTATACAGCCTCTGCCAGGGAAGTCCTACTCACTGCCTTCTCGTGGCAGGGGTGTTTACAAAAATGAGAGGATGAAAAGCGAATGTCCGGCGCTTTAACCGGATCCCAAACCAATGGTGCATATGGGCTCCAGTATCCTGCGGGAACAAATGGCGTATGAACCAATTGTTGGTCACCGGCTACCATGGGACTGTATCTCCTGACGTTGGTTCACTGCCTTGTGGGTCAGACGTTTAGGTCAAAGGCTCGTGGCGTGGCCCCCTAAGAAAACCACCAACTTCGGTCTGGACACCCGGGCAGTATCACGGCCCACACACACACAAATATGGTGTGGCGCATATATATTTGGTGCCCTCTTGTACCAATATTTATGTGTTGAAATAAATAAATAAAATGATATTCAACATTAAATTTCTCCCTCGATGTTCTATACATCAATTCATCCTTCCACTTATGTATAAGGGGTTTTTATGAGTATTATACCATATATTTACCTCGTGATGACTTTCCTAACTAGTGTTACTTGATGTTTAATCAAAAAATTCACAAATTTAGATAATTGTTTGTGTATTTGAAATAACTTACTTGACATGTTGAGCTGTTCTGAATACGTGAAAATGAGTGATTTAATGCCATAGTTACCTGAATCAGGTAAAATCTGTGTTTTCAAGTAATATTGGTATGACACAAGTTTGATACCTCAGTGTTGCCATTAGGTGACTCGTTTTGCATGCAAGTTTGTTCCTTCTTCTTAATGAAGCTTCCAGTTGTGTCTACATTTCATATGAAATGCACCTATTATTTCACATATCAAACAGACCCTAAGTAATGTATTGAAGTTATTGAAGTTAAAACCACACGGCTTACCTCTCAAGTACTAGCTACTGTTATACTACAAAAATGTTGTGCGAAAGATCGACTGGTAGGGAGCAGGATTAGTCTTATTTTCATCCTTTGCCGTTAAATCGTATTACGCTTTTTATCAAAACTAACTTAGCTTCTTTGAGTTAAAATATACTCAGCCAGGGTTTGTCAAACAACAATTTTCGTCGAAAGTTTACTGACATTTGCAAAATTTCGTATTGGAATAAACTAGTTACTTTCGGGACACAACTATCTAGGGATTATGCTAAACCTCCTGAATTTACCATAGTTTGATCTGTTTACTTGCAGCACTTCAGGTTTGATGGAATTCCATAGTGAGCTTTTTAATTGCACGGTGATAAAATAGATACATAACTCTCTTCTACTCATTTAATCATCGATTTGCGTAAGTATGGTGTGTGGTTTTTACCAAATATGTTTATTACAGACTAATTTCGTATCTAGGTAGTTCCTCGCATATATTCACCAGGAGTTCTACGTGATTACTCTCAAAGTTCGATGTATTTTACTGATCATAGTAATGGTGGATTAAATATAGTCAGTTTACAAAACTAGTTTGTTTGCCTCCTATATTTTTCCATATTGAACACTATTAGTTTGCAAAATGAGTTTTAAAGAGGCAGAGAATAGATTGTCTAATAGTATCATAGCGTGTAAAAAAATCATCATTTCACCACTTCAGTAGTAGTCTGCGACTTCAAATCTTTGCGAAGTTTTCATGAGTTATGTGACTCATTTCTAAATGTTAAGGTTGTTTTAAACAAGGTACTAAACTAACGTAATTTTATGTAGTACAATGAGTATTCCAGCCGTCAACTCAAGTAGATATCCGCCATATGGTACTATATGCATTTACTCCATACGGTAAAAATGGGCTTTTAGCGTTATATCTTCTGGTTTTAAAACGAACGCCAATAACTTTTTATTTACCGAGTGTCAGACACATCTTCAGGACCATTATTTTTACTAATATGTTTACCAGTATACTGACGATGTATCATAACATACACCATTCTCTTGTGTAATTTTATCCTTAGTTTCTTAGTTATTTTTATTTGAAAAATATGTCATGAAAATAATCAAAATGTGATTTCTTTCACTGTTATGTTATTTTAGTAACTTAACACAGGAAAGGACAGAGTAGTAATGTTATCGCTAATATTACTACCACTTTTATTGTTCTACTCTATTTGTCTTTAAGCAGAATTTTCAGTAAAAAAGTCATTGTGCACTTCATCTTATAGAATACAGGATGTTCAAGATCGAGCTACTAGATCAGAAGAAATGGTACAAGACATCACTCGGGATATACAGCAACTTGATCAAGCTAAGCGTAACCTAACTGTTTCCATAACTGCCCTCAATAATTTAATTCTTATCGTGAACACCATTGATCGTCTGAACGAATTACTTGGAATACAAAGTTCAGTGGATGATCCAATGTTTTTTGCGAAGAGCAATGACACAAATGCCAGTGCTCAGAATCCATTTTTAGAAGTTGACTCTGGTAATTTTGTTACACTTCAATTTTACTAACTATTCTGACAGGAATATTGTTTTCTCGTTATATATATATAGCTAGTCAGCCAACCAGTGTACCGGTTCAAGTTGCCATGTTCCATTAGCACAGCGATATGAAATTATCAGACACAATCTCAGAATAGTAGAGGTAGTAACAGTATTAGTGGTAATAGAAAAGATTGGGCACCGAATATACAATTCAAAAAAATTTAAGTTAGCGAAATAAAAAAATTATGAGGAATTCATCAGCTTACAAGCTGTGGTAAGACAAAGGGTGGACGGACCTGCGACATTGCAAACGATTTTGAGACAGGTCATTCGAAGTCTCTGATCACTGATTGCGATAATCACGCGAAGCCCAGCTAGGTAGTCTATAACTGTTTTCATGGCTCAGTCAAATCTTCGATGGCTTCATGGACTGGTGCCGTGTTTTGGTTTGGCCGTCCTTAGCTCTTTTCCAGCATACTTTTACACCAGACAACAACTCTCATCAAGGTAAGGGGTGGTTGGGCACACGTAACACATGTCCCAACCACCTCAGTTGATGAAGATTCACTACCTCGTCAATCGATTGGCCACCCTTACCTGATAATTTATTCCTAACCCCAGACATTGCTTACTCGGTAATCCCAAGATACATGAACAATGCTTTGAAGACACCTATGATCGAATACTAGTAACCTACGAATATCCTTTATCCTTAATAGTTATGTTTCATACCCTTGAAATAGAACAAGACAAACTGTTGCGCAGTAAGCTCGTCCTTTGATTGGCAAGCAGATATCTCCCCTACACCACAAGTGACAGGAGTTGACAAAATGCAGTCGGGCTTTCTTAATTTGTAACGAGACTTCGTCAGACACCAGCCGACAAAGACTGGTGAAACACCTAAGATAAGTGAATTAGTCGACACACTCGACTACACCGCTTCTTATCATTGATTGGGGTGCTGACGCGGACCGGTCCTGAAGCAACATTTTGCATTTGGAGGGAAGGAGTTTCATCCCAAACATCCTTCCACTGTTGCTTCAAGTGTTTGGAAGACTGAATCTTATCAGAGTCCTAAACGAACAGAGTTACATTATCTGCTTATTCAAAGTCAACGAGTGAATCTCTCAATAAACCAACCCTTGAAAACTCAGACAATGAGAGCGTTATCTCTCAACGAATATATATGACAAAGTCAAATAAACATGGAAAGTCGGGCAACCCTGGCAAACACCACTTGAAGTTATCAATTTCAATAACAGGTCGCTTTATTAATGTAAGGTTTAGCAATGCGTAAGTTTGCTATTTTATATAAATCGATCAGCAAAGTAGTCTGTTTACTTTTATGCATAAGGAGGGAGCAATTTCATAATAAAGTAGCGGAACTTACGCAAAACAGCCATCATATTGACTTAGACAGTTTGTTAGAGCCCAAAAAGACGTTGCATAAACACGCCATGGTAGACTGGCATCGGATGCAAAATGATAATACGTTAATTTACATAAATCATTTGAAAGGAATGAATCACCTGAAAGTCGCTTCGAACTTCTTAATGGAGTTTGAAGATGTCCAGCGGATAACATTGTACTTGTATATGAGCTGTCAGGAACTGGATAGTTTACTGACTGTTTGTACTGAGTGGAGAGCAAACCGACGAACCTCAAATGCTTTTCAACTGCCTTAAAAAACGGAACAATGCAGTATAAAGAAGTGGTTAAGATGATTACCAAGTAACAAGTGTGTTTAAGCCATCCACGTAAGTGTTTTGAGAAAGTATTAAAACACCTAAAATTAATTCTCATGGGTACCGTTTCACAGGACATCAGCTTGAACTCTTCATAAAGCACATTTTGGTTAACATGGTAGTATTATTTCCCATCACATGACACATTTGATTCACATAACAGTATAGAGACCAGTAATTGCGTATTGAGCTGGATTACGATTGCTTAGTAATAAGATTAACGTCAGTTTTCTGATTAACGAGATTTTTGTGACAAAAGCTTTCCCTTGATAATAGCTGTGAGATAGGTGTTATTCCTATAATACTAAAAGTCAACAAGTGAGTTTCTCAATAGATCAACCCTTGAAAAGTCAGATAATGAGAGCGTTATCTCTTAACGGATATCTATGACAACGTCAAATAAATATGGGAAATATTTTTGACAAAGATCATGAACCGATCAATGGTTTCTCATACCGTCGAAGGATATTTCTTCTTGTGGGACCTGAAAAGGTAGCTGAGTTAGTGGTGGTCTTAGTGACCTCAGAGAGCGACACCAATGTACAACTGCCTGAGGTCGGTCGTGCTCTACATTTTTGTGGCCTCCATATGCCCTGGTACGGCCGAGGGTGGGGAGAGTCAGCTCTCCCTCTGGAAATGTTCTCACATGGCCACGCGTATATATTTTCTGCCAGGGCAGTCCTACTCACTGCCTTCTCGTGGCGGGGGTGTTGTTCACGAAATTGAAAGGACGAAAAGCGAATGTCCGGCGCTTTAACTGGGCTGGTGGACACCGTGAGTTCACCTAGGGGAGTTGGTAAACCGTGATTTCATAACAATGGTGTACATGGGCCCCAGTATCCCGCGGGAACAAATGGCGTATGAACCAATTGTTGGTCACCGGCTACCATGGGACTGTATCTCCTGATGTTGGTTCACTGCCTTGTGGGTCAGACGTCTAGGTCAAAGGCTCGTGGTGTGGCCCCCTAAGAAAACTACCAACTTCGGTCTGGACACCCGGGAAGTGTCATAGCCCAAACACAAATGAAATGAAATGACGCTTTTTGTGAGTAGTTTTTGTTATGTTAACTCCGCAATTTAAAAGGCCGTACTATCGGAGATGAACATCCGTGGCGAGATGACATCACTACAGATACTGGTTGTTTAAGGGAAAACCCTTGCTGTTGTCACACCTGCTACAGCCACCAATGGGACTTCGCACTCGAACCATAAGTTACTGCCTTTAACCAACCCGCACGGCATGGTGGAACTTGAAGGAACATGTGTTCCAGCTAATAAATCTTAGTTGATTCATCATTATGGGCAAGGCTGACCATTAAATCAAGGTACCAGCTGCGGTCAGGATATTTGTATATATATTTATTCATGCTACAAGAAAAATCTTTATACGAAATCCTTCAAATAAATTCGTCTGTGCTTTATTTCTAATTAGTAAACTATGTCTGTATTTCATGGATGGATCGTTTCCTCCAAAGTTTAGGTGGTATTTTACACTGGTTTAAGCCCACCAGTATCATTGTTAACATTTTTATAGAAGTGACCGCTATCTGATTTAGATAGATAATATTTAGGTTCGCTTCTGTGAAAGAAAAGTAGGTTTGATATAGATAGATAATCGTTTTTAATTGTGAATACCTTCCTCCTATACAGAATGCTAACTGATTCGTTTACTGGAATGAGTCTGGAAGTAAGAACATAGAGTATGTACCCATTCTTTGTATAACATTACTTAGAGATTTCAAACCTAATATTCAGTTATCAAGTTCGCTTTCACTTCAACCATTTGTTTGTTAGTAGTTTTAGCTGTTACCCTGAAAGTAGTCATATTTGTGACGAATTTATTTATGTAGTTTGTGAGCCCCAATATTTTTACGACGTAACTAGAGTCCAACCACATATTCTCATTAAAATGATTTTTCCTATTTTAAATAAGAATCCTGGATGAATGAAAACCATCCACCTGAAAAAACAAAGTTTCAAAGATTTGTACCGTCCTTTTTGGCCGAAATATCAAATTTATTAGCTCAAGTTCAACGCTTATTACAACCTATGCTGTCAGCCTATGGTTCAGTGTCATCTGTGGCTGGATTATCTCGAGAATTGGATTCCATTCATTCAGTCCTTGCAGATCGTTTGACTAAGGAACTCAAACTGTTACTAGCAGTATGTAGATATATTTCCAAATCGTTATTTTTGTTCTTTTCTTAATGAAAATGTGTTGTAAGAAATATATAGACGTTCTGAGTTGAACCAGTTTATGTTAGGATCCATATTTTTTATGAAATGCTATATAACAAAATGCATCTTTGTGTGCTGAAACTTTTTGATAATCATTTTGTACTGGTCGTTTTTATGGAATTATATTGTTCAGTCAATATTCTTGTAATAATGTTACACATTTACGGAGTTTTATGAGGGCTGGCGATACTACAATAATACTCAAATAGTAGTGTTGCGTGGTTAGAATATGCAAGCCGTGCTTTAACCGCTGTGCCATTTCTCTGTCCACATTCTTATACTCCTCATGAGCTTTCTATTGTCTGGACTTGTCGGAAGGTTCCTTTTTCAATGTGTACACTACATTTCTCAGGTTGAATTCATCTTTCAAACATTACTCAAGTAAAACAATCAATATCTAAGCTTATAGAAACGCATTTTTCTCTTTTTTCAGCTAACTCAAAGATATTCGTTTAAATAGTGCTATTAATCCCAAATTCTTAGTTTTCCTAACAATGCTCAGTGAAGGTTAGTTTGTGCTTAAGTTCTAAATGAAAATACAGAATCCATACTTCCACTTATTAACTATTGTATACCTAAACAACCGAAATTAGTTCATTTTGTACGGTTCGGGTTGACTGGTGAGCTATGTTTTTCTGATAATTCTATGACCTTATTAGGTACTCTTTTTTGTAATTGGTTACATTATTGTCCTCTCAGTTAGGAAGATCAGATTTTTTTACCGAATATCCAAACTTCTGTAACGAATTCCTCTCTGCGGGCTGGTTATTGGTACTTTTATTTGTCATTCTTTTATACTACAACCAGTAGCATATGATTTTCTGAATTATACGTATATATCGTCGCGATAATCTGGAAAGGGGTTCACAAATCAGTATTAATTTTGAAACAGTCATACGTTTCTTAAAGTTTACATTTTCTGTCTGGTCTACGTTTCTCATGAGTTTGACAAATAGTTCTGCGAAAATCACTAATGTATTTCACGTTAAATTTGCCTATCAGAATCAGCTGGATTCATAGAAGCTTAGTTGCTGACTCTCTGAAATTACCTCTTTATTTCTGTGTTTTTATCAAATAACTTGATGCAGCTAAAGTCATGATTTCTATAGCAAATATACTTATCATCATGCTCTTATATATGTTAACATAAATTTATCTTTTTATCGACCAACATCTTTTTATATATATAATCTATATTGGTAACCAGTTTGCTAACTCATTTCCCTTTGTTTTCCTAATACTAGGCTACTCGAACAGTTACAGATAACAAGGAACTGATTTTATCAGCCTGTGAACTAGTTGACTTACTCCCTAAGAGTTTTCATCTCGATTCGGATATTGTAAATTGGTTTATTTCTCATCATCTAACTGAGTATAAGGAGCTATTCGATCCAACACAGACTACTGCTTGGTTGGATAAAATCGATCAGCGATACAACTGGTTAAGAATTAATTTGGTCCCCTTAGAACGTTTATTTATTTCAGTGTTTCCTCCCTCTTGGCTGGTGACTGAAAGGTAAGTTCAAATATATAGTCATCTTAGGATTAGTGTAGTACTTTATCAATGGTTATCTAAATTTATTTCGTTAAGTTTGGTAGCATAGATGTATCTTGGTATCATTACCAAGGTTTGAATTGACGATTTCGAATAAACTGCGCACTAGCTAGGTCTCAGTAATAAGACTAATGATAGATTTGTAATAATTCAGTGAGTAGAAAATTAAATGTCCGACGTTTCGTGACTAAGGTGAAGTCGCTTGTTCAGAGAGTAAGTAAATAAATATATTAAATTTACGCAAGTTTAAATAGCACAAAGGAACTACAAAAATGTTTCCTACGATCAAAAACGTCAGAAATTTAATTTTCTACTCATTGTGTTATTACGAATATATTACCATTTTTACAATATATGTATGCAATTCCTTAAAATGATTATCGAGGTTTGAAACAAAATCAAAGTCAGACCTCAGTATTACGAGTTCCGAGCAATGGGTCACTTAAAATCATCACTGAAATCCAATCTTCCTGATAGTCATGCTAGAATCAGTTGAAAGATAGTGGTGGAGAAAAAGTTAAGCTAAGTGGATTATTTAATATATTATAACAATTTGTGCTCTACCATTGGGAGACTATCACTGAAATTTTGGTAAACAACAAATTTTAATTAGGGAAACAAGGTTCTGAAAACAAAGTTCATAGCATTAGATACTGACTACATATGTTAACCCCCTTTATCTAGATGTAAGTTACCACCAATACAGGATTTATTTTGCGGTTGTTTTTCGGTAGGGTCAAAAATCACTTCTGTTCTTTTTCATGGTTGCTGCACCAGGTAAGTCACCCCGCTTTGCCATTTGGAAGGTGGAAAAGTACAGTTGGTATTTTTAAATTTTGATTATCATAAAACTTCTGAAAAGGATGGGCCCCATATTGTTAGCTGTACACTCTAATTAATAACTTAACTACTGGTGACGTTTTATTAATCTATATTCAATCACACTAGTGTGACTAGTGTAACATTATATATTCCACTAGGCTTGATCAACATCTACTGATCAAGTCCAAAAAATAACTATTTAATTGGCTTGGGATTAAAATGCACAGTATTTGATGTTGAATGATTAGGGGGTATCATCAAGCGGCTGTGGAGTTAGGTCTCAAGCCTGTCGGTGTTAATCAGAGAGGTCTATCTGGGGCTTCGATGAAATTCATTTCTCTAGATCATTATACACTCAAGATCACCAAACTATTGTCCTAAAGTATATTTCTATATATTTTTAACCTATCTTCATTTTAACGCCGTATATTTATACATTTTCTCACAAAACAAATATACATAAGGGTATACTTAACACGGCCTACACAAATTGTATTTCCGTGTTAACTTTGGTTGATACCTAAGTTTGAAAACTTGTTTATTGCCATATATACTGTACTCATTCAACTATTCCCGAAAACTCTTCATAATGATTTATGTTAACTATTTAGATTTGTTTTGGAGTTTTGTCATATTACACGTGGTGGCTTAGAAACTGTTATGAAACGACGTCAGTCGGAACTTACCCATAATCTAATTGTTTTCGCATTGCAACGCACCTTATCCTTCGAGGCCAGTTTGAATAAAGCATATACGTCTGAAGCGCTAGAAGAATTACAATCTATGATAGTTAACGGTAAGAGTATGGAGAGTTCATCTAATCCATTTGATGATAATGAGGATGAGGAAGATGGTTTAGATGATGCACAATCTAAAAATCCTGCAGAGGCTAAGGATGATTCATCAACAAATGATTCTAAACACAATTGGAAGAAGCAGATTTTTGATGGAATTATATCTGGGTAAGTAAGTATAAATCTTATTAGTCCATAATTTTGTGTAGTTAAATACTGTTCAGGTTACTGGGTAAATCCTCAAAATATTGACTCGTCGAATATTTAACTTTAATTCATTGAGTGAAATAAATGTATTGTATTGTTTTAGCTTCGTTTCAGCGTTGGTGTGATGTATATTTGTAGGATTTTCCATATCATTACTTTATGAGTGTCATTTCACTAGTTATAGGTTGAGATTATATAATGACCATCGTGTGTTAAAAAGCTCAAATTCCTAGTTTATAAGATCAACGTTTTCAGAACTGTTATAGTGAATCATTCAATATTTCCATGGTAAGTGAAGTTAAGAGTCTCTCTCCAACAAACTGGTTGCTAGGTTGGTATTTAGTTTCACTTCATTTTAGGTGGGTACATTCGTTATAAATAACTCACTGGCTTTCATATAAGTGTGAACATAAACACTTTAAGTGTTGTGGTGTTAATGGATCTAGAACTATTTAGAAGCAAGTTGCTGCCATTTTCAAAGCGCTACAGATGAACCTCCACTTTAATGAGAAAAAAACACGTATACACTGTGATATTCAACATGGACATTCAAGTGCCTAGTTGGTACTATAATGTTGTAAATGGTTGTGCAAAAGAACTCATCGGCGAAATAAGTTATGCGTTATATTTGTAACTTAAGAGTTGATAATATCTATAATGAGAAAAAGTGGGTTGTTTTCTTTTTCTAGTATTTATTTAAAATGAACACTGTCTTCAAAGTACATTGATTTTTTATAAATACCTGATTGAATGAGTTTACCTTATAACATTTAGTAATTTGGCACCACTAATAAGCCAATGTTTCATCTCTTATTCAAACACAAGACGAAATTAGTAAATTCAAACCAACATTAATCACTTAATCATGTGCACTGGTTGACGTTTTTCCTCTGTTATTACATCAACCGTAATATTGTACATCATTACCTATCCTTTAATAGTTGATTAGTGTTGTTGAAGTATTAACCAGTCAGTTTTATTTCAGAAAACAACACCTTGGCGTTGTGATTATCATTGTGTCTGAGTTTATTTCCGCTCCATCAGTGAGCATCCACGACCCCACATGCGAGAACCGAACCCGAAACCTCCGGTTTGTGTGTGAGATCGAAGGTCCTGGGTTCGACTCGCGCGTGCGTAGTCGTGGATGCTCACTGCTCGGGAGTCCCATGCTAGGACGAGACGACCGTCCAGTGCTTCCAGTTTTTCATTGGTGGTCTAACTTCCACTGGCTCGTGATTTCAATGAGATTCAACAACCTCCGTAACTGCTTTGTGACAGTAATATTAATGACATGAAGAATGATGTACGAAGATTTCATATCAGTTCTGTATGAATTATTGTTCATAATTATTTTCAGCTGTTTCGACCAATTCTTTGACCTCTATTTGGTTCATTTGGATAAAGGTCTGAGAGAACAAATGACAAATCGTTTGATTGGTGATTTCACTGTTAATAAATCAAGTTTTGAGAACAGGGATCTTGGAGATGTATTCAGAGATGGTAACATGTTACAAATTGGTGAAATATTACTCATATTTGTCTACTTTATTATTAAGTTGTATGGATAGTTTTTTTGAAATGCTTGCATATTCTCTGCAACTTAATTTCGAAATTTTCACTTCTAAAGGTAGGTCATAGTAGGTCTATCGAAGATAGAGCATTTTCTCGTATCTGTGTACATAGTTAAATGCCCCCGAATGCTCTAGTACGGCCGAGGATGGGGAGAGTCAGCTCTCCCTCTGGAAATGCTCTCACATGGCCTCGCGTATATAGCTTCTGCCAGGGCAGTCCTACTCACTGCCTTCTCGTGGCGGGGGTGTTGTTCACGAAATTGAAAGGACGAAAAGCGAATGTCCGGCGCTTTAACTGGGCTGGTGGACACCGTGAGTTCACCTAGGGGAGTTGGTAAACCGTGATTTCATAACAATGGTGTACATGGGCCCCAGTATCCCGCGGGAACAAATGGCGTATGAACCAATTGTTGGTCACCGGCTACCATGGGACTGTATCTCCTGATGTTGGTTCACTGCCTTGTGGGTCAGACGTCTAGGTCAAAGGCTCGTGGTGTGGCCCCCTAAGAAAACTACCAACTTCGGTCTGGACACCCGGGAAGTATCACAGCCTTCACACATATCAAATGAGATCTGTGTGGCGCATATATATTTGGTACCTCCTTGTACCAATATCTATGTGTTAAAATAAAATAAAAATAAACATAGTTAAATTCACAGGTACATAACAAATAATAACTTAAGCTACTTGTTTACACTATCATTTTAGTAACACGTCTTCTGAATCTAACAATATCAATAGACAATAATTTCGTTTGTTAGAAGTGTGATATTTAAGTAAGAAATACGACTAGTGTACCTGCCTTTAAATTTTTCCCGCTATTTATTTGAAAGCGAAAATGTACATTCATTTGATTAAATCGTAACGGTTATTCGGCTGTAATTTCCAACTCTGACATCGCTAGTCAGAGTGATATGATCTGACTTTTATCGCAGTGTTGGTATTTTTATTATTGATATCCACGTTGAGATACATCCAATTTTTATTACTTTTGACTAGGAAGGAAATAGAAGTACCCACATATTCATCATACTAAACATAATTACTAGTTATTTCAGATTAATGTAGTTCAGTTTGGTGCTTGTGCTCCAGTTTTGAAGAGTACACTATTCAAAAGGTAAACACCTGTGGAAACTCTATTATGAAACAGTAAATTTATCCAGTTGACAGTAACAAATATGTCAGTATATCCATGTATTGCCATTAATGTAGCTATTATTCGTCAAGATCCTGTAAAACACATCATCGCATATACCATTTGGCACACTTGTCTTTCTGTGCAAATTAGTCCAACCGATTTCTCGATGGTTATCACGAGACGGTTTCTATCCTTTTTTGTAAACTGGAGCGTTCAGTGTCTGAGATCAGTTATGTGGCATTAATTCCATTTTCCAGACCTTAACTAAGGTCTCAGTCAATCTAATTTCTAAAACTTAATTATTATCCTTAAAGATCTTCGGATTTAGTCCATCTGATTGCGGTGCTGTGCGTTTCTCCAGATTAGCTATAACCTTTTAAACTTCAATAATAGAATGGGGACTTGTTTTAATCTCCAGTTCCGATTATTTTGGAATAGTAGATAACTCGGGTAGTTCTGGATATTTTGTCTGTGTCGCCTTTGTTGTGTCCTCGGTCTTACTGTTTATATTTGGAAAAAGTGAGCCCTGTGAATTCCCGTGACGCGAAGTAAGAACACGAAAGACTGGTGCAATGAAGATTTATCAACTCTATAAAAAAGTTCAAAAAAACATCCTCATTAGACCAAAATATACTCATTTATATACTGATTTCTACACACGGTAGGGAAAATAAGTAGAGTTACTGCGAAAGCATACATACTAAGTGTAGTTCACCTGAATTGATGCAGGAAGTATAAATGTCATATTAGACGACAGTCCACATTTACCATATTTAGCTGAGCTCATACTGAATTGGTACAGGAAATATTGACCTAAATTGATGTCACTTTTTTGTCCCATCTGAAAAGTCTGTTATTACTTATCGCCTCTACCTTCACCTATTTGGCTTTCGCTGCCAACCACTCCTCACGATCGTTTGGTAGACATTTTGTCCGTCTACGTCCAAGTTACTTTTGCCCCTAATCGTATTCGGAGCCTGATGGGGATGAGTTTCTGAACATGTACCAATTCAGTAGGTGTCACCGAAATCCACTGATTTAGCATAATAGAAGTTTAATTTACACTGTTATTCTTCTATTTCCGAAAATCACTGTTCAATATTTTAAAGCTTTTTTTCATCCTAATGGGCCCATTAGGATGGAAAATAGCTGAGCGAAGTGGAAGAAAAATGGTACACCTAATGATAACGGATGCACACTACAGGATCCGCAAATACCAACACGTCATAGAGGACCAAAAGATGAAGCTACAAAGGAAATCTTGACAACAGCCATCGAGATATCATGCAAACGACACAGAACAAGGAAGAAACACCCTAAAGAAAAAACTAATCAAGATCTCAAAACACCCATGGAAGAAAACACAAACAACTGCGTGATCAATCTGTCAAAACAACCACTAACAAATACGGAAGAACACCTACTCCAAAAAAGGATTAAACTACAATACAATCGACGCCTCAAAGCTGGAATTCTTCGCACCACTAGAGTCTTCACTCAAAACTTCCGGAATCAGTGAAGAAACACAACAGGAAATAAGACAAACTATAGTACCGCTAACCCAACAGGTGAAGGAAAACAGCCAACTAACTCCACAAGAACAAAAGACTTTGAAGGAACTCAGAAATAGAAAGGATATTGTCATATTACCAGCGTACAAAGGACGCACCACAGTAGTCATGGACAAAGAAGAATACGTCAAAAAAGCCGAAGAACTACTTGAAGATAAGAGCACATACAAACTATATTTTAAAGCTCATATAACAACTATCTTGTAACTAGTTAGGATGTGAGGTCGTTTCATCATTACCACTGTACATTCTAGGCCTTTGAAATAAAACCATCTTACTGATTTAATTACATGTTGCTGAAGATATAAGAAGGGATGTATATGCTAATCAGCCTTTAAAAATAGGTTCCAGTCTCCTTATTTGTTACCATTCTTATTATTATAAGGTTGATAGCTCGATTAATCTGCGGGTTTGTGTATTCAACTTACCTTTTCTTCTTTAAGATTAAACAGGTTTTCCATTTTCTAATCATATATTCAGAATTTTTCATGTAGATTTCTGCCGTAAAATCTCGGATCATACTTTAACTTGTTTTTTGTCTATTGCTTATCTTTCAGATAATCCATTTGACACTGTACAAATCAAACCAAATCCCAATGACCCTGGCGAGAATACTCTATATTCTGCTACAGATTTATTCTTGTTCTATAAACAAATCTTAAAACAAACTCTCCAGTTGAATCGGGGTCATGGTTTGTTAGGACTTGTTCGTCTTTTAAGGCAGTATTTGTCTGAATACACGGTTCGTGTGCTCTTGGCTCAAATTCCAGGCTTAGCGATTACCAATACTAGTGGAACTAACGTTGGCTTATCTGCACCGGATGTTGCAGCGAAAATGGCGGCATTCGGTTTAAGCAGTCTCTCAGCTCTTGGTAAGTTTGTCATATTTCATATTATTACGTAATTGCAAATCATAGGACTTGGTCGTGGTCAAACGGGACTCGGTGCAGCTCTAGAAAATATTAGGACACAAACAAAAAACAGTTCTGCGCAATCTGATCTGATAAGTTCATCAAGCAACCAGGTGATTAACAATTTACTTCGTGATGATGTACAAGTAAGCTCTTATTTATTATGGTAATGGTATATTTACGTTTTAAGTTATCCCGTTGTCTAATTGATAGTTTACTACATGGAATGCTTAGTGTTTATACTTCAAAGAATTGTTTGAGAATAAGATTTTTCGACAAAAATGTCAAGGGATACCTTTGTACTCTCTCTAAGTCAGTCAGTCATTCAGCTACAACGTAGGACCAGGTACATATGTGCATCGGTCCAGGTTGCCATACCGCATCAGCACAACAAGATGAACACCGGATTCATAGCAGTGGTTAGGTCAAAGGTGGTAATATATAAGAGAAAGATTGCATATAGAGATATAGTACAGAAAGAAAGAATTGGTTCGTAGAAAGAAAGATATGAAGTGATTTTAATCTCTTAGTTTAAGGGAAGACAGGGAGTGTATACACCGACGCCATTGTGATCGATTCTGAGCCCTGTCACCAAGAGTCTCCAACCATTGGTTACGATAGTCACGCGGACCCCAACCAAGTAGTCTGCATCTACCAACATGGCTCAGACTAGAAGTTAGTGACTTCAGGCACTGATGCCACGTTTTGGTTTGGCCGCCCCTAACTTTCTTCCAACCATCCCGATCACCGGATAGCATTGCACGTCGTGGTAATCGGTGTTCAGGCATACGTAACACGTGGCCCAACCATCTCAGTCGATGAAAATTCATAACCTCATCAACTGATTTACCATCATTTCCTAATACCCTGCGTCTGGCCTCACTATTACTTATCCGGTGATCCCAGCAGACGCCAGCAATATTTCTAAGGTATCTGTGGTCAAATACTAGCAGCTTACGAGTGTCTTCTACTCTTAATGGTCATGTTTCGCTGCCGTAAAGTAAAACAGAACGGACTGCCGCGCAGTATACTCGTCCCTCAATTGATAGACGGATATCTCGCCTTCGCCATAGGTGACGCAAGTTGGCAAAAGCCAAGCTAGCTTTTCGAATCCGTGCTGAGATTTCGTCAGACACCAACCCATTAGGGCTGATCAGACTTCCAAGAAAAGTGAAGTTGTCGACGCGTTCGACTACTTCACTCCCTATCTTTAGTTCAGGTGTTGACGCAGACCAGTCCTGAAGCAACAACTTGCATTGAGAGGGAGAGAAGCGCATTCCAAACATTCTGGCATTGTTGCTTAGTGCTACCAAAAGGCTCTGCATTTTGTCAGCGTCTTCACCAAACAGGGCTATGTCATCTACGTATTCTAAGTCGATAAGTGGACCTCCTGGATGAAGATCAATACCCGAGAATTCAGTAGACGAGAATGTTATTTCCATCAGTAGATCTATGATGAAGTTAAACAAAAATGGGGAAAGTGGACAGCCTTGACGGACACCACTTGAGGTTGCAAAAGTAGATGACAGTTCGCCATAAGCTCTGACTGGACTAGTAGTGTTCGAGTAAAGAGCCTGTACAAGGTTTATGCATTTCTGGGGTACGCCTTTCAATGACAGACACTGCCACAGAATCTCGCGGTCTACAGAGTCAAATGCTGCTTTTAAGTCAAGAAAGACCACAATTGTCGAACGCCGATAAGCATACCTGTGTTCTAGAACCTGATGAATGGTGAATATGTGGTCGATGCAGCTACGATCAGGTCTGAAGCCAGCTTGATTTTCTCGTGTTTGCAGTCCACGAGTCTTAGTTAGGCGTCTGATAATTATCGAGGCTAGTATTGTAGATATTATATTAGTTAAACTAATCCCTCTGTGGTTGTCACAGGATGATTTTGACCCTTTCTTATATATTGGGACGATAAGTGATTGTGACCAGTTGGATGGGATAACGTCTAACTCCCAGATCTTAGGTAAAATATTAGTCAACCTAATCGCTAAAATTGGACCACCATCCTTAAAGACCTCTGGAGCCAGTCCATCTGGACCAGCTGCCCTTCCTCGTTTCAGATTAACTATAGCCTTTTGAACTTCAGCAAGAGTTGGGGGACCTACTTCAATGTTCCATTCACACTGTCTGGGAATGGAGGGTAGTTGTAGAGTAGCTGAAGGTCAGCTGAACTGTTCTCTGAAATGTTCCGCCCATCGTTCTAAACGTCTGGACTGGGAGCAGATGAGTGTATCGTCTTTTTCCGATATAATCTCAGTTACACTTGACTTATTAATTCCAATTTCTTTTATTAGTCTGTAAAGCTGTCTTGTGTTCCCTATAGTCGCCGCCTTTTCCATCTCTTTTGCTTTCATTGCCCATCACTGCTCACGGTCGTTTCTTAGACTTTTTCTTAACCTCGATCTGATTTGTTGTCGCTCTTCATCATGTTCGGAACCTGATGGGACGAGTTTGCGAGAATCCATCAGTGTGATAGACTTTGAAGAAATTCACTGGTTCTTTGTAACTCTGCGGTTTAAGTTGCTAATAGATGTCACTGCTGTTTCCCCAGCTGCTTGTATATCTTTCCAAGCAACATCTGGGTCAGCCTCGTCTTCAGAACTACCTAATTGTGAACTCAATTGTTCCTGGAACCTACTTTTGGTTTTCTCGTTACTCAACTGAGTCCTAATGGGTCCTTTTAATGTGGCTTTTTTGCGTCCAGTGAGGCGCAAGCAGATGTGTGCCCGTATTAGGGCGTGGTCGGAGTCCAAGCAGGTACTCCAGAATGAGCGACAATCTTCTACCGACCCTCTCCAACGATGACTGATGGCAATATGGTCTATTTGAGTCCATCGTTGGTTTGGTGTAGGGGGTCGCCATGTTAGACGATGTCTCTCCTTATGTTTAAAATTTGTGTTTGCTAAAAATAAGCGATTGTCTGAGCATAGTCACAGCAGACGGTCACCTTACCGCCGGAGACGGAAATCCGTGAGGTAAGGTAAGGTGTGCATTTTTAGGGTCGACCTTTTCTAACCACACCCCTCCTTGTGGGAAGGCAGCATCGCTGTCATGCTGGTTGTCTGAACGAAACACCTTACTGCTGTCACACCTCTGTACAGTCAGCAGTACGACTTCGCCTTCGGACCTTGGGTTTGTTGCTTTTAGTCTTACCGCCCTTCAACCGACCTGTCCGACATGGTAGGACCTTGAGGAACGGTTGTTCCAGCCAGTATAGCTCGGTTGCTTCATCACGATAGGCAAGCCCGACCACCACATCAAGGTTGCAACAACGGTCGGGACTCTCTCTAAGTGATGGATAATAGATAGAACTTTTTATTGAATTTCAACTTAAATAGATGCTAAATTATCGATCGAGTTACCTTATTATATTTTATAAGTAAAATAATGGTGACTAATATAAATGGTGAACCTGAAGGAAACTCTACAACAAAGTGAATGGCTCAACAATTTCACAAGGAATTACACGTTTACCTTGAGAGTAAATAGAAGTAATCACTTTAAGCAAGAAATCCCGTTATTAAAGATCAAATTTTCAAGGTGTCATAGCTAGCGGAGCTGTAATACACTAACTGAGTATATCCATTAAAATGGCGGTTCATTCAGTGAATCTGGATCAGCCTTGACAATACGAATAAAAGATAAGTTATCGATACTGGGTTATGCGGCGCATTTATATCATTTTAATTGCTGTGTGCTTGTATATGTCTGCACCCGCTTCCCTGAAATGTTTATTATTAGGGTGTTACTATGGAGTTCATTCCAACTGGGATTTTGATCAATTAGTTACTTTAAATTCCCTAAAAATATCGTTTTAGCTCCGGTTTCTTAATCCGGATGGCTATTGCTTCAACCGTTTGAAGGACTTTGAGTGTGACAGGTTTTGGAAAAAAAATTACTGAACTGATAAATAATTGAAAAGGATTAGTTTGTACCGGCACTATAACCAGTTTGCACTAAATGAGCCAATAACGAACTGTTCACTTTCTTCACTAGATCTTTGCTTAGCCACGTTGGGAGGTGTTTGCGAGGACGAAAATGTAAATTCCTAGAATTTCGACTTTCTCTACAAGGGCAGTCAAACTGATAAATACAAAATGAGGTGGTGATTCTAGGTAATTCATCTTTTAGACTCAGTGTAACCATTGGGTGTGTAGAAAACACTAATCGTAGTTCTCCGGCGTCGAATGATTTTTGGATTGTTCTGCGTAATCTCTGAATTAATAGTACGTTAGCAGCGTCCCCTCTGAATTGTAGGCGCATGGACAGGGATTTCTTATTCGCCGTTTGTATTTCGCCTATTCTAACCTTCGTGATCATATATTTATTTATAAAATCTCCAGAGTATCCGTCTTCCCTAAGAGTATTACTCAAGACGCTTAGCTCTTCAACTATATCCGTAGAACGTATATACGTATTCAGTAAGTAAGAGTTTTAATCAGGTTTCTTTTACACATTAGAGGTACAAAGCTAAGGAAATGTATGTACTGCCCTGTACAGTTATTTTATGTTTAAATTCCTTCTTATCGGCCCATTAGCTCCCTTGGTTAAGAGAACGTCCAGAAAGGCTAATTCACCTTCTTGAGATGTACACTTAATGGCTGAAGGTACTTCATTACATTGCCCAAGAATCTCTTGTTGTGATGTACTATCTTTACAAAGGATGAACGTTATCATCCGTATATCGACAGTAAAATGTGAATTTTTGAATAGTCTTTTTGAGTGGACCATTTTCTAGTTTGGTTAGAAAAATGTCAGCTAGTATAGAGCCCATCGCGACTCCATCCATTTTTCTATAGATTTCTCCGTTGAACTTGAAATTCGCATTCATGGTGCATTTCAGTAATAACTATTTTGTGACATTGAATGGAATAGTAGCTTCGATTTCATTTCCTTTAAGTTGTTCACATATATATTCTCCAGTATCCATGAGTGGAGCATTTGTAAATAATGATGTCATATCCAAAGACATCATCTTTTGTTCCATAGTATTTGCATTTTCGATCTTATCAACAAATCTGAATACATCCTTAACACTGTTTTACAAGTACAAAAGAAATATCTTCAACTGCTTCTCTTCCCTTGACCAACCCCATGGCCAATTACTCAATAGTAACCTTAGCTATGAAATTGCCTAATTTGACTACTGTACATACAACCTTTCTTAGTCAAATATAATTGTAATATTATCAGAATGGGTTTTGTGGAGATTTTTAGAAATTTCACTGGTTGAAATCATGAGTCAATTGAAGCTAGACCACCATTGAAAATCTGGAAGCACCGGACGGCCATTTCGTCTTAGTATGGAACTTCTCAACAGTGTGCGCTACAATCTCCACAATAACCCTCATTCTGATCATAAAAATATGATTGTCTCTATTATCCTTATTCACATATTTTTGTATGGCTATTATTATTGGCTTAACATCATTGATCTTCCGAATACATGATTCGTTTACTTCGCATTCATTCCACTTTATTATGTCTTACTAATTTTTTTTACACATTATAGTCTTCCACTAAACATTTGATTGAATTTGTAATTGCGCTGTTATTTCTCTCACCTTATCTGACCCATATTTATTCTGACCATGGATCTTAAAATTTCACTTAACATATAAGCTGATTAAAGTTAACATTCTGTATGAGCCGTATCAACATTAACAATCCTATGTTGTTTAACAATCCTAAATTCACATGCTATGACTTTAAACGGTGCACTTTTCCCTAAACGTGGCCACTTTTCGGATTATTAATTTTGATATATAATTGTAGAACCTGGAAATAATTTATCAATGAGAATATTCTTTGTTCATGTATTAGTCTTTTAAAAAATATTTGTATACTCTGTAAGTTCGTACGTCGTCTTAATTTTAATTGCACCATAAATCTTCACAGATAATTTACGAGCAAGATCATATTACTACTAATAATAATACGTGTTTAATATTTTTATTCATCAGGGAGTTCGACTGAGTAAAGATGATATCTACAAGGTGTGTGTCATACTTGTTACAGCAGCATTTTGTCTGAAGACTGTTGAAGATTTAGAGAAGCGTCTAAAACATGAAGTAAGTTATAATCAGTTTTTCTTTTTGTATAAAGAAACCATGTTTATATCATCCAGTCTGCTAATTTTTTGAAACTATACCAGAAATATTATTATCGTTGTGTATTATATAGATGAAATTAAACTTTTGTTAATCAAACGTGCTAAAAGGTACTATCATTTTAAATGAATTTTCAATTCTCATAAAATATGTGGTCATAAATCTCTCCAGACTTTAAGATCATAAATGGTATCCCATATGTTTCGTCCCACTCACTTTCTTTTGGCCAACTAAAAAGAACCGATTGCGTAACAGATACACTTTCACTCAAAGTATATGAATCTATTAATGTAAGTCCATGTTTAATGCATAAGCAACCCTCAGCTAGCTAGGTTTTCAGTTATATCATTGTGACTAATGGTTTCTTGCTTAATGATTAGAACTTTCAGTTGAAAATATAGACGAAATTGAAAACCTTAGGATAATATACTAATGAATAATCTTCAGTTTTCTTTGATTGCATTTTTAGATAACGTAAAATCGGTGGGATCATTTCAGCTATTCATTGAAGGTAGAATATTCGTTTGTTGATCCCACCCTATCATTACGGTATGAACTTGTGAGGATACTTCTCCCATTTTGAAATTTCGGATCCTCTTTTAACCTTGTTTAGTGCTACTTACCTTATTTTAAAAGTTTTCTCAGATGAGCTAACTTAGTGTTTGGATTCTTTCGTTTGAAGTAGTTCATGAAGCTTTCTGTTTTACACTTGATTTTTGCATCGTGGGGTTTTTCATAGTTCATTGAGTGTACTCTGTATGTTGTTAGATTTCTAATTATAAGAATAGGTGATAAACAGTTGTTTGCAATTTATTTACTAGGCGATTATTGTCCTATTTCAATTTCATATGAGTAATAGTCGTGTTTATCAATTTCGACGTTTTATTTGTTATATGACATTCATTTGTTTACTGATTTTTATATTAGATCAGACCACCTAGCTGGGGTTCAAAAATATCATTTGCTTCTGAACTTGATGGTTTAGCAACTTGTAGATCTGTTTGTGTCCACCGCCTGGTTGCAGACTTGGAAGCTGGTGTTGAACCGCAGCTAGTCGCTATGGCACGTTTACCTTGGAATAATCTTGTACAAGTTGGGGACCAAAGCGCCTATGTTACAGCCATTGTAAATCATCTTCGCACTCAAATCCCACTGATACGAGAAACATTGTACACCGTCAGGTAATTTATCTATTTTCTGTATGTGTTAACAATGTCTTTGTCGTATACAATCGTCTTATATCTTTTTTATGCATTATTAGGCCAGCTTTTACTCAAATATGTATAAAATTTGCTGATGCATTAATTGCGAGATTCGTTAATGCCTTATATCGTTGCAAACCGGTCAATACTTTTGGAGCTGAACAGCTTTTATTGGATACTCAATCGTTAAAGGCTTCTCTTCTTCAAATGCCTCTTCTTGGAGCTAAGGTAAGCTAATATTCTATGTTGTTTTGATTATGTATGTAATTATGGACTAGGGTACAATACCAACATTCTATTGTCTTACATCAATGGCATAAATGATTTTTTGTGTCTTTTGTCATGCATTATGAACTAACTAACAATGAAGGACTCACCCGACCGTTACTGCTACCTTGATATGGTGGTCGGGCTTGCCTGTCGTAATGAACCAATCGCGCTATATTGGCTGGAACAATCGTTCCTCAAGGTTCAACCATGCCAGGTAGGTCGGTTGGAGAGAGGTAAGACTAAAAGCAGCAAACTCTCGAAGTCACTAACTTCCGGTCTGAGTCATGCTGGTGGATGCAGACTACTTGGTTAGGGTCCGTGTGACTATTGTAACCAATGGTTGGAGACTCTGGGTGACATGGCTCAGAATTGATCACAATGGAGTAGGTGTATACATTGTTTGTCTTCCCTTAAACCATGAGATTAAAGCTGCTTTATACCTTCCTTTCTACGAACTAATTCCTTCTTCCTGTTTTATATCATTACACATAATCTTTCTTTTATATATTACTACCATTGAATTAACTACTATGAATTTGGTGTTCATCGTGTGCTAATGAGGTGTGGCAACTTGAACCTATGCATATATGTGCCTGGTCCTAGGTTGTAGCTGACTGACTGAACTAACCATGAGTCCACTTTCTGATTATCATGTTTTACAAAATAACAGAAGACATTAACTTATAAAGCAGCACCTTGTTATTTTCTTATAATTCCGCTCATTTCCGAATACTAACGCCTAACATATAGATATCACGTTCGGTGACTTCTCAAAGTGTAAAAACATCTTATTATTATTTTCATTTTTAGTGGCCAGTGGATCTGACTCTGATTTGGATGAACGTATGTATATACTGTGCATATAAATCTTCTATTTAACTCTGTATAGTACACCTAAGCTAACCCCGTTTGTCTGAATGCGGTAATAAGAAACTAAATATGGGTTAAGCTGGAAAAGGCGTTCAGCAGAGACTTCAAGAAAAACGGCGGTTTATGTGTCATGTGCTGATTGGGTTGCTATCGATTTTGTTATCAATTCCAGCATGTTTTCAGAAGTTTCCGAAATATCAAAGTCACACCCATAAATATTCTAATCTATTGTACCTAAACCAGCCCTGGAAATAGAAATTCATTTCATACTTCCTTTTGTTTGATATTCAAGTGCAGAAGATATTTAGGAGACTAGGAAGCGATTGAGAAGTTAGCTACAATCGTCCTAGTATTAGATATATCAGATACAAGTCAAAAGTATGGGTTTCTTGTCTAACTAATTCACTGATTTGTTTATTGTGATGTATATATCAACACAGTCATTTCCCCCAGTATTGCGTTAAAAATCAATTTTAAATGTCTTACATTTTGTTTAAATCTTTTTGCTATTCAATATTTAAGATATTTGTATTTGAAAATTAGTCTAAAAGCTTTCAATTTACATTATTTATAGTTTACTCAGACACCTCCACGAAGCTTTACAAATCTAGTTCATGAAGGTATGGGGAAGGCGGAACGTATTATCAAAGCAGTTATGTTACCAGTCGGTGTCGCTACGCCAGGAAAGCAAGAGTCAACAACTCCTCCAAGTGGATTTGTAATGGGTCCAGTTGATACAAATGCAGCTAATGTATTTTTAGCTAGTTACGAACAATTATTACCTGATCTAACTCAAACTGATCTACAAAATGTTTTGGATATGAAAGTAAGCAATATAATGGACAACTTATCGTTTTCTGAAAATAATCTACGTTTGATAAATAATTATATTCCGCAATCATTTACTGTTTTCAAGTAATATTTACAGAAATATCACTGAAATTAATCGTTCACTGTAGTTCCTTAAATCAGTCATATTATGCGCTCCATTGGCGAAGGAACTTGACTTAGACACCTTCGCAAAACCGATATTCAGCAAATACTGAAAATAAATACTACCGATTGGACATTAAACTGATGTGGCTAAATAGATACTTGTCCGTAAGCATTACTGCTGTTAGGTTCGCTTCACTGGTGACATTTTTCAAAACGATCGTGACAGAATGTTAGACGGTTGCAGAACCGACCATTACTTTGCTATTGATTAAAGAATCAACCGAAACATGGGGTGCCCAAACCGAAGCAGGCACCCTCACACAAGTCGAATGATTTATGTGGAGCATATCTGTCCGGTTCCTCTATGCACCAATGTTAACGTGTTTAAATAATAATAATAATAATAATAATAATAATAATAATAATAATAATAATAATAATAATAATAATAATAATAATAATAATAATAAATCATTCATATACCATAATATGAATTAATTAGAATTCATAATCATGTTTTGATCATGATTTTTGTCCATTTTGTCCCATTTAGAATAGTCCAGTCAGTTGAATAGCTTGAATCGACTCATGATCTCAACTATTTAAATTTATAAAAAATAAATTGTTTGGTGTCAACAGTAATGATGGTTTATTTTTCTTTGTTTATTGTTGGCGACAAAAATTCGAATGTTTAAGATTCTAGATTAAATCAAGAAAATCATTTATTTTGTTGTATATTTCCTCAAAAATTAAGTCTCTTCCAACTTCCTTGTGTATTATTTTAATCTCTTATAATTGCATTAATTTGGTCTATTGGTAGATCTTTTGGCTTCTAAAATGTTGCTGCCTTTGAATTTATAATAATCCAAAAAGTGTAAGAAATCTAATTATTGCAGTCTGTGTCATGCCACGTACCCAAGCTGGTAAACTTTCTAAATTTACACGGTCTGAATCGAATACTGACAACTTTGTAAAGTGTTCTAATGTCGCAGATTGAATATTCTTAGGTTTTTCTATGTGCTTTGTAATAAGTTTAAGTCCTTGTTCAAAATCCAGTTGACTTGAAAAATACAGCACGCTGTTAATTTATTGAAGTACAGTAGGATTTACCTGTAATACATTTAAGACCCTTTATCCGAATACTTGACAAGATCTATATAATTCTCTTCCTTACTGTTTTCTGAAACAAGTGTCGTCGCGAACTTCCCAGTTAAAATCTTTCATTTTATTTGCAAATCAATTAATTAATACTATTGAGTTTTTCTTTTCTTTTAGGGTGTGAAATTCAGTGAACAACAGTTGATTTTAGAAATATTTCGTAGTAGAAATGAATTTAAGTCAGCGATGAAAGAAAAAACACCTGAAGTAACGTTATTTTGTTCTGTTGCAGATACTGCTATCACTGCTAGCACTTTTGTTAGTACTGCAATTAGTAACGTAGCTTTGACAGGGATAACGACAGTTACCGCGACCACCACTGCTCTTACGAGTTCCTTTGTAGCTACACCGAACTCTCCAAATAATCAGCATCAAAAATCGAAGCAGTCTGTGTCGATCTCAATGAATCCATTCGATTCATCTTCACCAGTAGAAGAGCGGGAGCAAATAACAGATAGGAAAGGAAAAATAGAAAAGTTATTGAATAAAAGACGATAAGAATATTACCGAATTGTAATTTTTGAATGTTGATTTTAATGAATAATTGGTATCTTCATTGTTGCTTTAACTTCGTTTATTTTTTTCTCAACTCGGTCAAGTTTATTCTATTCCTTCTCCGTTTTGCTATGTTTAAACTTTCGCTTGTCAAAGTAACTTTTCTGTTGGTGTGTATAATTAACATCTCTCTCTCTCTCCATATATATGCATGATTTATTCATACTACTATAATAATATACTACTATTATTGCCGGTTTAAAAACGTTGTACTTGGATGTTTTTTTATATCTTACTTCCTTTTATTAATTGTTTTATTACTTACTAGCTATATTGTGATAAAATGTTTGTAGGAAACTTTCTCTGTATTTCTGTTTCTGTAACCTTATGGTATGAATTGAAATACCAGTTTGTTTTCTGACAATTTTCTCAAGAATAGCATGATACATATCTACTTAGTGCATCAGTTTTTATGGTACTGTTAAATTGGTTACTAATGTTTATTTTACTGTGCTAAATAAAAGCCAACATTAAAAGGTGATTTTTGCTGGTCATTCACTTAACCTCATTTTAACCAAGTAATTTAGGTGCGTTTCTCCTTTATTAGCTTAAGTTGCATCAACGTTGGTCTATGTGATTGTTCTACTTTGAAATTTTGAGTATCTAGAGCACTGGTTTCTTCACATCTTGTAGAATATTTTCATATGTCCTGGTAAATGTAGTTTAGTTTAATAATAACTAACTGGAGAACTATGAAATCAGATGACACACCATACTCCCGTTTGAAAAAGGATACTTCGCACGACTAATTCCCTTCGTTTTCACAGGTTATAAGGTGAAATCCGAAATCTCTTAACCAGTATAAAAATGTGCTATGTAGTTGTGTCAATGACCTTTTACAGTTGTAAAAAAAATATTTGAGGTGGTGATTTCCAGCTGATTTGTATAAGCCATCTCCCAAATCGGTAACAAACAAATAAACATTCATAGTATTTCACGCGTTGGTTTTTTTTACCTGTAGATGTCACATTCCGTATGTTAATTAGTTGATCGACAGGCAGCTTATTGTAGTCCGATATACTTCTATTGAGAAGTGTGTTACTTTGGCTTGAATAGTATAACAAGTTTTCGATAATTATACCACTGCACTTGAAGATTTTTAGCTCATCAATTTTATCAACATTATAAAAAATAATTTGTCAGTTTGTATCCAGTAGTCTTAATGGACTTTCACTTTATAGATGAGATTAACTAGATGTTCAATCAAATCAGTTAAAATATCAGGATATTGTAGAAGTTAAATAAAACCTTAATTATACAACATCAGTAACTCAGAAGTCTATAGAAAAGTAATTTTCATAAGCTCTTGATTAGTGTCTATGGAAACATGTATATAGGCAGACCCATTTATACACTGTACATAAGCTCACTTTTTCCACTGACTAATAGTTTCTAAACTTCTGCTTACATCCTAAAGCTAAAAAGACTGCGTAAACTATTTGTGATCAAACAATCGGACTTTTTTTGGTGATAGATTGTGTATTTGTTAAATTTTGAAAGTTACCTTTTCTCAGACATGAGAATTACTGGTTATCAAGTTTGTCGGAGATTAGGCATCATTACTTAAGTTATGTATTTGAGATTACAAATGCTAGAAGTAAGCATAATCCAACTAGAAAAGAAGAAGGAATTTCTATTATTAACAAGTTGGATAATCGAAGCCTTGGAAAACTCAAAGAATTCCCTTATCTATATCTTTACATATCGACTAATAATATATTAGTATATGGAAAAGTTAGTCCCATGGGTGACAAGCCACCTTTGGACATTGTATTAATTGACCATTAAGCGTGGATGTATGTGCCTAAGGTACCTACTGCGTACAGACACTTGTTTGTTTATTCGCCAAAATCTATAGAGTCCGTATTTGTGGAAAGTTCGGTATTAAAGGAAACATGTCTGTGACAAAATAACCTGACAAATGAATATTTAAGATCAGTTTCGAAGCATAGACGATCAAAAAGTAAATATTAATGAAATTCCCCGACCGTAGCTGCTACCTTGACGCGGTGGTCGGGCTTGCCTATCGTGATGACCCAACCGAGCTATATTGGCTAGAACATATGTTCCTGTAGGTTCTACGTTGTTACTGACTGATTAATGAAATTCATAGAACGATGATTACTTAGTGTTGTGGTATTTCCAGTCATAATTTTAATTTCGTTCACTGATTGAAATATGATTCGCTGAATCAGTACCACGGCGTTTATTTTGAAATTTTTACATCTGAACAGCCCCATAATTATTGGCAGACTCCTGCTAAGAAAACTGATGATAGTGATAGTGAGGTTTTTGAAAAGTCAAGTTTGAACACTACATAAGTATAATTTTTTTCATTTGTCATGATGATAGATTATTGCTCAAAGAACCGCACGTCGAACAGATTCTTTGGTATCATTAAAGTTAATGAATTACGTTCTGATCATACATTGTTTCAGTTATCAAATAAACAAGTCATCGTCAAGTATGGGAACATCAAAAAACTTTTTAAGTTTCATTTTTATGAGAAAAATTTGTTTGATGTCTGGTACTTTCACATAAGGAAAATGTTTTATGTATATCTTGTTAAAAATGTCACGAAAATATGTCAGTGAAGAAACTGACTGATACTTAGGTTACAGTCAATTTCATATCATACAATACATTGTTTACTAACTGTTCTTGACATCCGATGTTTTGCTGAAGCAAAATAATAAATGCTTGTTATATCCACAAGATGAAATATTGTCAAGATTCTGTTAGTTTTCTCAAACCTACAATCTAAATTAATTCAAAGGAAAGTTCTGATAATTTTCAAGTGAAGTGTAGACTAGGTGAATTTCAGTACAAAGCCATTATTTCACTTAGGATTAAGATTAACAGTTTTTTTCAAATGAATTCAATGTAATTTTTTGTGTTGAGTCGGAAAACTTGGAGTTGATGTATAATTGGAATTGGAAGTGATTAATTTACCAAGTTAATAGCAGTATAATAAGACAGAATAAATACCTTCATATTTCTGTTCCTTGTTTTTTCTTCATTTCTAATACACTAACAATAAAAGCTTCCCTATTTTTCCTTATCAGAATATTGTCTTCATCATTGTATTGATGGTGTACATACACTAATCTGTACTTATGTAAGGTTGCTATTAAGCAGTGACTATAAGTAAAACCGTTTTTCTTATAATTTTCTTAGGATTCTTAAATTTTTTAGTGATCTCGAATTGATCGTATTTCTGTTCAAATCAACATTCAAATGTAACCAATAATATTACAGCGTACACAAAACAGTGTGATAACCACCCTGGATAATAAATCAGTATTACCAGGGTAGGTTAAGGGTAAGAACAAATTGTTTTTGAACACAAAGGGGGTTTCAGTTTCCGTATAGCCAAGGCTTCAGTAAACTTTAATATACGCCCTTGAAGGCTTTTGTACAACACTACAAATGCTGACTTAATATCAACCTTATAACCAGTCTCAACCAAATGTTTCGCAATGGAGAAAGATGTCTGTCTATCCTGTGATCTTATCTGACCATTGGAATTCATTTGTTTTTGCAGCCATTTGGGTATGTGTTTCTCCACCCTTACTTGCAGATCTCGATTGCTCCTCCCACATTGTTTTTGCGTACTTTATTTTTCTTTATTATGGCTTACCTTTAATCAGTCTAGTTGACCTTTTAGTTTTCATATAAAAATTTCTTAACAAGTATATGTGTGATCAGATTGTTCGAAACGTATTGCGCAAATATATCACATAATTCTGATAACCTTCGTCTTCTCATTGAATTGTCGAAATTTATAAAAGAGACTAATTGTTTTGAATATTCCATCGTGTTGGGCGTTCTAGCTGTATGTGATTTATCTCGGTAGTTTTCGAAAAATTGATTATTCTTCAGTGATATAACAGTGCACTATGATAGACTTATGAAACATTTATTATAATGTTGATACTAGTAGTAGTTTTGTGTTAATGCTTCTGAGTTAAGTATTGGTAAAAAAACATTCACTTCGTGGAGGCTAACACTGATAAAATCATACAATTAGATAGATTATGTATATATATATATATATATATATATATATATATATATATATATAAATTGCGAACCGACTGGTGAATGAATTCAAGCATACGTACTATTGACACTAGCAGATTTAACACAGAGCTATATCTCAGCTTTTCGGTGGAACATAAATATGACAGCCACTTCAGATTCTTTGGTCTGAAGATGAGGAGAACAGAACTAACTGTCAATTATCTGTACTTAAGTTTAGAGAGATCGTCAAACAGTTCTTTATCTTACAGATGGTGAGTAAACGCCAGTACTTTGTGGAGAACAGTTTTCTTGTACCGTAATTCACCTTTTGTGTTCCAGTTTAAAATCGATCAAAGTTAGTCCGAGGTTGTTTTAAACTCTATTTGTCTTTTCATGTACATTTGCCAAAGCTATTATTAAAAAATAACAGAGATTGGTGTTGACTGGGTTTTATGCATATACTTCAAAATATCTAGGATTCAGGTAAATAATGTTCCGATTGGTGAATAGCGATAAGACAGAAACACTGCCAGTCTAAATTAATCAAACGAATTTAACTTTGCTTAAGCGTTTTTAAACATCTACAATTTGTTTGTTATCTCTATTTTTAACTGTGAAGTAGTATTTTATTCTGCTCGTTTTATGCTTAGGATCCCAATGTACTTACATAATAACTGTCACCATTATTTGTGTTATTACTGATACTGTTTTCCTTCTCATCTAAAACTGGATTCTTCTATCAACTGCACATAAGTTTATAAGTTTGTTCAAATAAGGGTTGTACTATCAGCCATGTTCAATACACTAAGTTGATTAATTTATTAGTTCACTTTTGAAACGTTTGATTTCAGAATCAGCTTAGCAAATTACTGAAGTAGCTTTTTGTTTGTTTGATTGAAAAATTACATATTTAATATAAAACAAGTAAGGTTTTCGAGAAATCTCATAGACTTAACGGAAAAATCTAGAGCTAGGTTTATTGAATAACCGAATTATCTGCTTGAATAAAGTTTTAACAAGGAAACGCAATCAAGTATAGGATTTCTTAGTCACGGTTCCTAAACAATTCTTCTGTTGAATAAACGTGGGATTTGTACTGAACAGCATATTTATAAAAGATATTGAAAGTTATTTTATGCACTAAAGATCTGCATACTGATAATCTAGTTAAGGGATACGTTAAAACACTTTTAAATAATAGGAATGAGTGTTTTGTACTAAATTATATTATAGTTGACTCTACTAATGAATATAAATTTACCCATCTTCGTGTTCAGACAGATTTTAGATTGATTATGTCATCCTGACTATGGGTAACGTTATTTTAAGAGACATTTCATGTTTATCAAATTTAATAGTAAAGGTGTATAAAAGGAAGTAAATGCGATGAGTTAGTCTTAACATTTTTATTTCAGCTTAATACTGGTGACCAAAATAGTCACGTTTCAGTGAGAAAAACATATTAGTATCCAGCTTCCATTAAAATTTCAAAAAATACTGATAGACAAAGCATTATCAGGCACAACTTCATCATTAATATTTAGTGAACTTTTAATAAACTCACTAATGTCGTCACAAAATTTATTTATTTTTTCTTGAAGTTCTGTTTGCTGAATTTTAAGGAAATACAAACACCTCTTAAGCTTCTGTTCTCTTGGAGTTTTTGGAGCAAATGAAGAAGGCCTTGAGTTAATGCTTCTTGCCGAATCAAGTTGATCGTTCATATTTGTTGATAGACTTACATGTGGTGGACATGATCTAGATGATTTTATTTGCTGTCGATTTTTTCGACGTTCAACTCGGATTTGATTTTCTAACTCCAGGTAGGATCTAGAAAGAAACCATAATTTTCGCTGAGATGCAGAACCGACAGTTGAAGTCAATCCCAAAATTAATGTAGACCGAGTTGAGTTTGGAGTGGTGGCTGGTCTTCGTCTAATTCGTCTGACTCTCGGGGCGGATAATATCAGTCTAGTTTTTGGGAGTGGTGGAGGTCCTGGATAAAAAAAGAAAAGCATAGATAATACTTTCATCATAAGGTATTATCGTAGGTGAAAGATATATCTTCTTTAAGATTAACACACGATGACTAATTTCATAGTTACAATAAAAGTAATTCAGAGTTATTATATTGTTATTGTTCACTCCATCTGATATACTAAATGTTGATTTAAATGTTTTTAAATATCAATTTTACTCGCGCTATGATAACAAGGAAATCATTAATTCATATAATTCAGGATGCTAGAAGATTCGAAATAATTCGTGGTAAGTTAACATCTATAGTTTGAAGAAGGCAAAAGGAAAACTACCCTTGTTTGTAGATAAGTTATTGAGAAGGAAAGAATAGCCTCTATTAAAAGATTCTAAGCTGTTCAGACCAACAAAAAGAGTAACGAGGATAAATAAAATTTATCTAAATAATACAACAAGCTCTCTAAATATACAAAAACTAACTTTGAAATTCCTTTTGATTTTTTTTCAGACTATGAATAGTCCTGCTTTTATGTTTTTTCTCTCCACGACGGTCCTTGAGAACTGATTTCTTCGCTTCCTTTTGTTTACCTGATATTTTAATAAAGTTTGTCGGGGATGAGTCGAGATTTGAGTTTATTTTGTTCAGAAAGTTTGGAAACAATCGATTATGACCTTTGAGCACTTTTTGCCATAATCCCTTATTGGAGTCGACGGCAAACTTCTGAAATTTAATTAGTTATAGATAATAATCAGTCAGTTATTAAACGCGTCTTGGATATATAATTTCTCAATAATAAAGTTGTCCTGGTAGATATAGAAAACGAAAGGAATTCACCAGTAACGTAGACTGATGTCGATCTGCTTTCCATTAAACTGGAACTCATTAGGTATGGTAGCACATGGGAAAACCTCAAATTTTAGTACATAAGGGGAAGGCATCCCCTGATGACTATTGAGGATAGTAGGGTAGTATCGTGGATTAACTGAAGTTGGACGTATACACCACTGGACCCCCGCTGAACAGTCTAGAAGCTGTGTTCGTGTGCGGGACCGAGTGTCCTAGGTTCGATTCCTGACAGCGGGGTCATCGATCGACACTTCTGAGGAGTTTTATAGTAGGACAAAACGTCTTCTAGGTTTTCGATGGTTGCCTAACTTAGATAGGCTTGTGATTTCATTGAAAACCTTGAATGGTTTGTAAATATTAAAATAAATGTATCTTTTTCGATGACAAGTGAACTTAATGGCATGGTCAAACTTCACTGGACTCTTATAGATAAATAAATTTTTGATTCCAAAATTCTATTTCTACTTTTCAAAGTTAACTAGTGAAAATGTTGTCTACAGAATATTAACTCTTGCAAAGATCTTCACCAATAAATTCATTAATCAAGCAATGAACAAAAAATATTCAGTAGAATAGCAGAAATTGTGAAAATCATACAAACTTCTTCATCCACTTATTCTTCTACTTGTTCGTCGATTGATTAGGCCATAATAATCAGTGATAATGAAATTTAGTTTTGTTTTTACTCAATTACTTACAAAGACGTATTTCAATTAAAATAGAAGTTAATTTTAAACAAATACTGCATAGTATTTCTCTATACTGATACTGTGTACTTGAATTTAATAGACTTTTATGCATGATCATCTATAGTGTTTTTATAAAATAATCTGTTCATTTCATAAAAGATAATAACGTTTGTTTCGTCCAATTTTCAAAGTCACTAGGTTTTCCTCTTAAAACATAGACTAATGAATATGATATCAAGTTTAGACCACGGTCGTGTTAAGGTTTTTCCTAATGTCATATCATTGAGGTGAAAGGTGATATATATATAATGCGTATTGTAGTGAGTATGAAAATGGTGAGATATTTAGACACCTTAAATATCACTGTTTGAAATAAAGGCCCAAGTTGAATGGTTAGTTAGTTCTTCCTTTCTATTAAGAGCAATTGGGTTTAACAATGCATTCATAATTGCAAATATTTGAATATATTTCCAATGTTCTCTAGACAGTTTTCGTGTGACCTAATACCTGACTAGGATAGTTAAACATTTGTCTAAATTTTTATTTAATAAAAAAGGAGAGTCTATGATTGATTCAACCGAAAGAATCATTATTCATTCTACCTTTTATTACTATCTATCCTACATAAATCATTATAGAATCGGTTTAATAAAGTTATTTTTCCACTCATTTCTAATGAGTGATTTTTGAAACCATACTAGAGGGGGGAAGGTGGATAAAAATATCAGTTCTCCTTTCTATTTCATTGATATTACTATGATTATCTAAATAGTTGTTTTAACATTGAAGCGAAACAATTAATCTGATAGGGAACTTTAAGAAATACCTGCAGATTTCACATTTGGTTTATTTTTGGAAAACCATATTGTATTTCACTAAAAGTCATTAAAAAAAATTAATATTCCAAAGATGATTTCACATTTTCACTAAACTGACTATTCTTACACTAATCGATTGATATTGATAATCTCCTTACCCTTAACCACTAATCTGCTCTAAATCATTCCAGTAACAATCATCCGTAGTCAAAGAGTTCTGCACTTTTCGGATCATTGTAAATACTGGAGATGATGCAACGCACTAGTTTGGAAGTTAATCAAATATGACTCAGAATAGAAACAATTTACAATTCTTCTGTAGTTTTATTTTATGTTCTTTATGAAAGTAAGAGGAGCTCGATTTAATGAACGAATTCTTTCCTGTTTGTATTTCTGGCTGAACTGTATCTCCTAATAAGTATTAATCCTGTTCACATGTTTATTATCCTCGATTGTACTTCCCTCTATTCTTTAATCTCACAACAATATTGCCACTTTATTTGTATAATTCGTGTTTTTTAGGTGCTATTAAATGAAATAAAGTAAAAAAAATGTTTTTAGAAAATTTAATTCTCTGAATGGCACGTTGTGATGTAAGTTTTTGATAATGTAAAAACTTTCGCTTTTCCAATTTCATTGACAAAAGAGATTTACATGATTTCTTATTTTCTCAAGTGTCTTATGGGCTGACTATTCGTTAAATCTCATTAAGTAATCCTACATTTCGATAGTGTAGTAAGAAGATGAAGATTATCATACGAATAAACTATCCTTTTTGTAATTATGTAAGGAACAAATATTTGTGATTCTTTGTTATTGACCTCATGTTCCATAAATACTGTGAACATGTTCATTATGAATTATTTAATTGAAATGCACTATGAGATAGGCTAATATAAATTAATTGGACGAAATGCTACTAAAACACCCTTTAAAAAATAAAAAACAAAACAAATTAAGACTTACAGTTCGATCAATTTCTTCAGCTACTTTATGAATTTCATACAGTTGATCATTAACGCGCTGTTTTGCTATATCCTGTTTGAGAGTTATCTCGTTTTTATGCTGTAAAGCAATTTCTTCCAGCTTTTTATTAACTTCATCAACATTTTTATCTTTACACAATAATTTTAAAAAATTCCAGTGTTTATTATGAGTAGCAGACATTTGGTTGATTTCATATAAATGATTCATTTTTTTAAATTCGTAGTCTTATAGATACCAGTTAATGAAAAAGAAATCTTCCAATTCTTGTATCTTCAGCAGGTTTTCAATATAATTTTGTTGTTTTTAAATAGAAAATAATTTGATTTGCTATTTGTTCACCAACTCAGAACATAAAACAGTTTAAACTAATGTTGATTTTTGTAACTTGATTTTGTTAAAGTCTGTTATTTTTTTGTTTAACTTAACTACCAGAGAATCTTTAATAGGCTTACACTAGAAAGGATTTTAATTTGAACCTCTTGACATATTCGTCTATGAGTTGACCTTAGTTGTGTTTTTAGAGAATTATAACAATTTTATGGAATAACAACTAATTTATAACCCTTATTTTATTTGGCATATTAAGATCACGGAGAAAACTTGTTTAACAAATATTTTAGTGATGATTTCGAGTTTTGTAATTACCATTGTAATTATTTAGTAACATATATACCAGGACATCTGTCAACAAAAATTGTCTGGACACTTGGTATGTTCTATTTCGAAATCCTTCAGAAATAGCTTGACTTCTAATATATGCTAAATAAAGGTCGAAACATTTATTTTCTTTGACGAGCTGGATCATTGAGTTCGAATCCCTCATCCATTATACTAAGATTTTTATTAATTATCTGAATACTGTACCGGGTAAGCTGAAATAAATAACTAACTTAGTTATTTTAACTGTGCCTCATTTTTGTTATTGAAATGAAAATCATTCATTATGTTTAACGGTATTTACAAATTAAATTTATCTGAAGACGGTTGGGATCTGTATGCAGCGAACCATACAACTTAGGTTCCCAGTCGGCTGGCACTCGACGAAATTCACACTTTTCATATGATAATTCATTAGGTGCCTATTGATTAACTGCGACTAATATCATTTTGATCCATGTTTTCCTCTTTCTATATTATATTGTCTTTTGAATGATTTCGAAAACTTTCAACGAAGCTTCGATTATTTTTTATTTTTGGTTAAAATCCCAAACTAAAACTTTCCACCTTGATTAAATGCATGATTTTATGTGAATATTTGATTAAATAAATGAAGATAGAAAGACAGTATAAGTAGGCTTAATTTTTGCATACGGTGAAGATGACATGAAATAAACTAATTCTTTTTATGAACAATTCGTATGAAAAAAAGTTTCTGTCGACTTAAAATATTCACTTGAATGTGACAAAATCAATAAAAATGTTGTCTTACCTGGGTAGAATTTTTATATTAATGCTTTTTGAAGTACATTTTCTGATCATAGTAAAATGACAAAACTTTGAAAGTGGAAAAAATTTCGTTTATTTAGTGAAAGTAGTTAAATAAAATGACCGGAAAATGAAAGTAAATAATGAAACTTAATTTAAGCCGAATGTTTACGTAACAAACAATGAAAATAATTTAAAATATTAATTAACAGTTACTATTAGTTTTTATAGTCACCTAAACTATTTTCTATTTTTAGTAAAGTTTCTCTTGGAACATTCTAGACCAGTAGTACGTAGAAGAACGTTTATTCTTTGTATTAACTTGAACGATTTTTAGAAATGCTCACTACCAATTGTTATCAGTATCGGTTAATTCATGATTGCTGTTCTGACTAATATTAATAAACATTCAAATCAGTGGCTGAATAAAGGAGTGTTGTTCAAATCAATTAGATTTAGAAATGATCTCAGAGTTATACAAATATAATTGCACATGAATTGTGAAGGAAGTTAGCAACAAGATATAACAGTATCTGATGGATATCTGCGAGTTAAAACAAATGCCTAGACATAATTATTAATATGTATTTATTCATAAATTTTAAGTATTTCATTCATTATTTTATTAAAAGAAGCTCCAGAGTGCACTCTCAAACTCACACATGCATTTCTTCATTTGCCAAGAAATGCTAAGTTCATAGTCATGTGTTTATTAGAAAATTAATTTATTAACGAACTTATTAAAAAAAGAATACACTAACTTATATAATAAAATTCAATGAACTATTTCACCAACCTGACAGTTAAAGTGGGTGTTGTCAACCCATACTATTGAATATATCGATGATAAATTTATGAATGTTTGAAATTCACATCTAAAACACATGATATTGAATATTTCATAACTGGATTTAAAGCAGTCAAGGTGGTTCTGTCAAGTTATCACTGAAATGTAGTCAGCTTAAAATAAATGTTTTTTATTTTATAAATTTGATCAAATGACTACCTCTTAGTATTTCATAATTTTATTATTTTATATTTATATATTACTAGGGGTATTGTTTCATTTAATTGGTACTATATATACCTATTTAAGGTATGAAGCTGTGCATTCAAACCAACAAGAAAGCTAAGAGATGAATTATCAACATTTACGATTAGATGAATATGTGTTTTTAATATAAATTGTTGGTGGCTAAGCTTTCAATAACAACCATAATCTTTAACGTCATCTCACCTAACGTAAAAATAGTTAATTTTTTTTATTATATAACCCAGTGTAAGTGGAACAAAGCCAACTCAATAATTGCAATATTTTCTTCAAGCTCAAATTTTTAAGAAATATTCTGTCAATTAATTTACGATGTGCTAAGTCATTTACACTATTCCAGTTGTATATGTTTGCTCAAACACATTGAGAACTGCAATTCGATTGGTTGAGACTGTTATATTTTAGTTCATACATAGAATTAAAGTTCATTCGTTTGTTAATTATTGTTTTGTCTCAGCATAGTGATCCTGTGTATTTTCCAGGTGCTTAAGATAACACAAGTTTTACAGCCAATATTTTTTATGACAAATAGAAATTTAACACTGCCCCAAATATTCCCTTCTGCACTATTTATGAAATACATTTAAAAATAAAAGAATGGTGAAACCTGAATGTCGACTACATCAGCTGTCAAGAAAACAAAAGCTCATTCCCAAACCTAAGGTCTAATTTATGCACTTTGTAACTGATTCTATATTTCAAACAAGCGTTGGTTTTACGGACTTCGATTTATTTGATAACAAAATATCACTGATTTTTTGTAAAACAAATAGATGGGGAATTTTCAAGACCCGCCCTTTCTTCATTGTTAGGATTCACTTAAGATGGTTTAGTAAAACTATCTTTAAAAAACTTTATTGACGAATTGTGAACATAATGTTGTAATTGATAGACATCACATTGTTTTAATTTCTTTGAAAGAGGGACTGAGTGATGACTAAATATAAAGATGTTCTTGGAGAATTTTTGCAAACTGTGAAAGTTTTAAGTCACCATCTCCTTTAATTATAAAGAACAGAGTGATCATCATGAAGGTCATACTATAGACATGTTATCATTTAGTCATTGAACCAGAAAATATAATGTTCGAGGTATTTTAACTCTAGCCACTTGAATCTAAAGCAAGACTATCATGGAGAACTATTTTTGATAATCAGTCTATATTTGTTTTTCTTTATAAGCTATAATAGATAAATGTTTCTTGGAACCATTTAAACACTCAAATTTCACATCATGTAAATACTCCATAGATGAATCTCTTATTGTTCAGATCTAATATCAACTAATTCCAACAAATTATTTCTTCGTCTTCATAATTGAGAGACACCAGTAATTTTATAAAATCTACGTAGTTTCTTCATTTTTCCTATTCGATTTCATTAGTTACTTCTACTTTGAAATAGAATTTTAGTTTATTATTCAAGTTTATTTCCATTTACATATTTTAATTGAGGTTTGTCAGCTAATATTAACGATAAATTGTGGGAATACTAAATTTTGACGTGTCTTATTCTCCAGAACGACAAACAAACTGAACAGGTTCAACAGACTACTAACTACTGATAAATACAGATTACTGAAAACCTATTTTATAACGTTGAAGTCGTTGTGCAACCAGTAATTAGAAGTAAACAAAGGTAACAAACATTCTTTTATGAGTGATAAAACCATAATTCCATGTATTTAACTATAAACAGGCAGTCATATTAAATTGTTTTTGAAGACAATATTACAAGGTCTTTATTATCTGGTTTACCTAATATGCCTTCATTAACAAACACAGATCTTAAGTTCAGTTTTTGTCATAGATTAGTACCATCTGGAGAACCATTGAGAACTATAAAGCCTTTGATAACTGTTTCGTCATAGTTCAGTATTCAGGGAGCTAAGAACCTAATTCATGCATTTTCAGCAGAATTGAGCTTCCTTGCATGATGGAATTAATTTCGACTTAAAAATCTTAATGAGTATAAGGCACACACTATTCACCGAGTCTCTATAGTAATATGTCCTCAGTTGATGAGGTGTTCAATAAAACGTCGAAAATGAATTCAAAATACATGTAGAAGATAAAAGTAAAGGAGATGAACTAAAAATATTTTATATGTTCTCTTCAGATAACCAAAATTTTGTCGATTACCGCATTTGATCAAAAGTAACTCAGCGAAAAATTCATATTTTAAACCGTGGTTCCGTTTCTTAAAAACCACTAAAACTGAATTCAACATCAGCTAAACACTTTGAAGAAAACAAACTAACAAACAATTAAACAACTTAGTCGACTTTTATCGTCTTTATAAACAATGACGATTGGTAATAAAGGTTGATTTCTTGTTCCTCATACTCTGAAGAAATGAACGATGAATAGACATGATCTACTTCAGATGTAAATTTTTTTACTCGTGATCTAACCCTAAGTTGTTATTGATGAGTGTAAAATGTTATGTCACATGATATTCTAAATGTACTTGCATAATTAGATTTTTTAATAACTGTATTTACATTCTGTATTACTTTAAATTTTTTATGCTCATCGACGTACGTTTGTTAGTCACTGTCTACAATCTGTGGGAAATTGGCCATATAATTTTCTGTCCAAAGTTGATAATTCGAGGTATCTGAACTAGCGACAAATATAATCCATATGTTACATATTTTCTACAAACCACTTTGATGAAGTATGCTTCCGAATGATGAAGAGTATAGTTTATCAACGACTGTGTATTAATTTAGTGAATATGCTACCAAAATAAATATAAGTAAGGCTTCATGGCTAAACTGACTTTCATTTTTTTGGGAAGATCCAGACAATTCCTTCAAAAAAGCCAAAAAGCGCTCTGAAAACGCTGGTAAACATCTTATCCAATCGGCATTGAATACAAGTTTTACCGGAAACATCTAGAAAAGTAAAAAGTCCCATGTTGCGTTTCTGATTGGATGATTACCTATACTGCTAGTATATTCAGTAGCGTTCAAGAAGTTTCCGGAGGCCCAAGGCCATCTAAAATTCTATGAATACCCTAGGTTTTCAGTACACAAACAAACCTTGGAGAAAATTTTAGGCAAACTGGATCTAGCGTACAATTAGATTTATCGCATTTGTTATTTACCTATTCAACTTCTAGTTAAAGCCAAACTGTTATTGATCCACACAAATCTAAATTCTATTTATAACCATTCTGTAGATTATTTATTAGATATGTGTTATTTCGCCACACATTTATTATAAAAGTGATCAGATGGCATAATCCTAGCTACAGAAAATTGGAGATAATGATTGGGACGTAATGAAAACAGTTTTCTCGATACCAGATAATCTAGATGTCTTATTAACTGAACAACAATCTTAAATAACACAGTATCTAAGTCAGATGCTAATATGCGTACAAAGAGGACATTTGTGTAGGAAGTTACGATGATTAGTATGTAAGTATGTAGAAGCAATGACATAACATTAGATTTTTCAAAATGACTTAAGATATGTGCAAATAATGTACATTTCTTAATAGTTATATTCTAAACGACAGCAATAATAAATTGTATTCAACAGGTAAAAAAGATAATAACAGTGATCTCAGTCACACCTCAAATTTACCGATCATG